AAGAGATTAAGAAATAAGATAGAGATTAAAAGAAATATAATCATTAAGAATATAAATGCAATAGAATAGTGAGAAATAATAATAAATATAAAAAGAATTAGATGATATGAGATAGAAAAAGAGACGTTGTAAGATGCTTTTAAAAGATATATTTTTAAAATAATTTTAAGAATCAAATAATTAATTAGTTCCTGAAGGTTTGATAAGTATAATTAAAAATATGAGAAAAATAAATGAAAGTGCTAAATTAGAATATTTTCCAAAATATTTAGATGAAAAATCAAAATAATATCTACTTTTAGCTGCACAATTAGAAATAGATATTGAAGAAACAAGAGTTTTATCTTAAAAATATAATTCATAATAGATATTATTACATTCTAATTTAGCAAAATAAAGTATTTCATCATAACGTTAATAAATGAATGTATCATAAATAAAGAATCAAGTAAAATTGATGTTGAAGAAAAGTAAAGTTTCCATTAAAAAACCTGTATTTGTTTAAGGTATTGATCCTTTGAATCCATCATCATTTGCTCATGTAATAAAGTGGGAACATCAAGAATTGGAACCTCAATAAATAATTGAAACTAATGAGAATAATTTTAAATCTTAAAATATGTCTTCAGAAAGAAATTGTGTAATTAAAGATTACAATTAAAAATTAGTTTAATTGTAATAATAATTGGAAAGTGCAACAAATGAGGAATGTCAACGGATCCTAAAGTCATATTAGAATAAGAAATTATTGTCAGATGTTTAAGAATTAAAGATGGTATTGTATGCTTTATTTGGGTAAGCATAAGGTGATTAATGTTGGATTCCCTTTGTAGTGGATTGGACAGAATAGAAATAATTGAATCCATAATAAATATTCAAATAGGATGAATAATAAAGATAAAGCAGTTCTCAAAGAGATTAACATACTCTACCAGATATAATGAAAACAAAAGTATCAGAAACATTCAGAAAATTGACAGAAGTAGCAAATATAGATTATAATTTTGAATTATATTATTGATATATGTCTTAGAAATTCTACACTCTTATTGCTTTTGCATGTGTGAATGTTGTTTGCAGTTCTTTCATTGTTTTTACTTATTTGGCATGGAAAGCTGGTCGTAAATCTCCAGGAGATATTGTATTTGCTTTAGGATTATGCTAATTAAGTACTTCAATCTATTGGATGATGTCAAGTCCTGATGTAAATACACCCAGCAATCCAGATAATAACTTAAATGATTCATCCTATTGCAAATGGGTTGATTTCACATAGAACTTAGGATTCTTAGGTTAATTTATATACAATTTTGCATATTGTTTTACGATGAGGTAATCATTAAGATTATTTTAGGTAAGAGATTACAAATGTATTGAAAACAAATGCAAAATTTAAACTATTGCTTCATTCCTTCTGTTTAGTGTTTACATTATGTATATCGTTGATTCTATTTGCATTTCAACCCTAAATATAATAAAGAGCAAGTCAAACAATAATGAATAAATGTGTCAACACAATCATATTGGAGAGGAACTATTTACCTTTGGCTCTTTATGTATTTGAATTTGTGTACATCATATCAGCACTATACACAATATGGTACTTCTATTAGAACTTACCAAATGATGTGACATTTAGAACAAATAAAAAGTCTTCGCTCATTAGATATGTCATGTATATAATTTCCACTATTTTTCTGTCTTGTTTCACTTTACTTAGCACATTTATTTAAACAAGTGAACATCCGTCATATTAACCTGCTAATTTGGACACAGTGATGATGATATCGACATGTTCATTTTATACATTAGGTTCTGGAATTCTTTGTTATTAGAGAGTTAAGAACCCTGCTCTATTGAGAAAAATAGTTAATATGGTACATAAAGCATTTTATCCTCAACCTAAAAAGGAAGTGGAAATTGTTGATGTGGATACACAATTTATTGAAGTTTAGAAATTCATAAGAATGTTTTAGATTAGAAGTGTTTTAGCTGGGATAATCTAATATTTCAATAATATTGAAGAATATTTAGATAATGCATAATTAGAGGAAAATGTAGAAAGATCTGAATTTGATGTTGATAGAACTTCTTAATTATTAATATAAGCTAGGGCTACATAAAATTATGATATCACATTAAATGATAATCTTATTAGAGAGACTTTGAGTGAAGAATAATTAGCTATAGCAAAAACACTAGAGAAATATAAATTAAATAATTAAGCATTGAATAAAGAATTTAATTTTTATGTTAAAGAAACTTAATATACAAAAGGAAAGAATCCAATGATGTTTGCCTTGGCTCCAAAATATTTTTATTATGTAATTTTATTTTTATAATATTATTTTAGTTATTTAAATTTGATAATTTAGATATTGATGCTCACGATTCCTTCTCATTAGAGAAAAATGCTGAATTGATTGAAAATATGATTAATGTAGATGGAGGTAAATCTGGAGAGTTCTTTTTTTTCAGTTATGACAATAAATGGATTCTTAAAACTATTACTGATAGAGAATTGAATAGTTTTAGACAGAGAATGCCAGAATATTTTCATCATATGAGTGAATATAGGAAATCTCTAATTAATAAGATTTATGGAATCTTTTCCTATGATATGAATTATATTTCATCTAGTTGTGGTATCATTTATCACATGGTCTTAATGAGAAATATATCTCAAGTACCTCGTCCTTTCGTTAAGAGAACCTTTGATATGAAGGGTAGTGAAGTTGCAAGAGAAGCACTTAAGGGAAAACCTAAAGACATTGATCTTTCTAAAATCACTTTAAAGGATGTGGATTTTGATAATCTTGAAAAATGGATCAAGATAGATTAATCTTAAAGTGATTTTGTCAAATTTCAACTCATTAAAGATGCAGAATTTTTCAAAAATACTTATTTACTTGATTATTCTCTATTAATAATGAAAATAGATTGGGGAGAGTATTAAGGAAATGTAGACAGATTAGTGGATATACCTTAAAATGCCTATCCATCTCAAGAAGAACCAAATATATACTATCATATTGCTATAATTGATTATCTTTAGGAATGGAATTTATCAAAAATGGCAGAGAAAGCATCTAAACAATTATTGGCTATGAATCCTAATTTAAATGTTTCTGCTTAAACTCCAGAAATTTATGCTTACAGATTTATAAATAATTTAGTCAATAAGATTTTTAGATGAATATATATATAATATTTTTATAATTTAAAATGGGTAGTTAATGTTCATAATGTTAGACTTGTTAAAAAAGAGAAGAGTAGGTTGTAGTTATATCTGAAATCAGATAACAAAGTTCCCAAAATATGAATCAATATTCTTAGTAACCACCTGAAGAAGAAAATGATGAAAGTTCATGTAATTTATGAGAATAGTTAGTGAGTAAAGGAATAGATTTAATGAAGAATGAAAAGCTTGAATAAAAGTATTAATCAGAAGCTCCTACTCCAATTCCTATAGCCACTCCAGCATCAGCACCAACCTAATTAGTTTCTTTCAATGTTCAAATACAATAACCTTAACAGACTCAAGAGTCTTAGAATGATCCCAGTATTATTAAGAAAGATGGAATGAATAAAAGAAATTAAGAAGATTTAAATCATGATGAAATTAATAAGTAAGGTCCAAGAGAGAAGAGACCTAAATATGTATTTAAGAGTGGAGCAATTTATGATGGTGAATGGGTTGGAAATATGAGAGATGGTTATGGTATTCAAATATGGTCTGATGGTGCAAAGTATGAAGGTGAATGGAAAGCAAATTAAGCAAATGGAAGAGGTAAGTTTTGGCATGTAGATGGAGATTTTTATGAAGGTGAATGGAAAAATGATAGAGCAAATGGAGTAGGAAAATATATTCATACTGATGGAGCTTAATATGAGGGGGAATGGTTAGAAGATTTATAACATGGATAAGGAAAAGAATTTTGGGCAGACAATTCTAAATATGAAGGATAATATAGGTATGGAAAGAAATAAGGACTTGGATGGTATTAATGGACTGATGGTTCTACGTATAAAGGAATGTGGAGTGATAATAAATTGAATGGATTTGGAGTCTATAATTGGCCAGATGGGAGGGTAAGATGATTGTTTCATACAAAGCGCTATGAAGGGTTTTGGTAACATAATCAGATGAATGGAAGAGGAATTTACTATTGGCCAGATGGAAGATATTATGATGGAGAGTATTTAAATGATAAGAAACATGGATTTGGAGTTTATAAATGGAATGATGGTCGTTGTTATGAAGGATATTGGTTATCAGGAAAACAACATGGTATAGGAAGGTATATATTAAACGATGGACAGAGTCAAGTTGGAGTTTGGGAAAATGGATAAAGAAAAAGATGGTTAGAAGGAGAAAGTAAGATAGAGAGACCTAGAGATTGGGATAAATATGTACATCCAAAATTAGATAACTTTTAATGAAATATCATAATGTTATAATTATCACTCTGTTTTTGTTTTAGTTGTCTATTTAGTACAACAATTGGATGTAGCCCAAATTAATAATCCTCCAATCAATGCTGTGAGCTTAAGACATTCAATTTATGTGACTTGATCATTACTAAATAAAGGATTGCTTTGGATGGCAATTTGTAATAATAAACCAAGAACAGGAAATACAACGAAACTTAAAAAATTAAATTGTGTTTAATACCCTCCACATATAAAAAGCAAGACAGAACTTGCTAAAAGGCCTCCAACAATTTATTTGGCTAAAAGTGCTGGAACATGTTTGAAAACATCAGCTGGAATGTACTTAAATATATAGATTGAATTTGAATACTTGCTTGATCAATGCTTATTGTTAGAAATTAGCATATTTAGTATCAAATTGTTTTCCTAAGGTAACATCTGTTAAGAGGAGGTAACTGTAACCAGCAAGGGCGGTGAGAAGGAAGACTTTTCCAAAAAATGACATAATTATTTTATTTATTCAAACACATGTCGTGTTTATAAATTATATTTTCTAGAATAGTAATTCACAACTTCAATTTTAAATTTCTAGTTAACATATCAACTTCTTTCATTTTAGCTAAAATTCTTCTTTGTTTTTCCATTTCTTGTTTTTTTGGACTTTCATTTTACTTAAATTATTCAGGTTGAACTATGTAAAAAATAAATACATACATAATTTCATCATTAACCTATCTTAATTATAATGTTCTTTATTGCCAGCCAAATGACAATTAAATCTACCTTTGGAAGTGATTTACTTAATCTCTTTTGTTTAAGGTAAAATGAAACTCTAAATTTCTTTTTTAAAAATATCCAATCTTTCATTAAAATGAGGTATATTGTATAATTAAACATTTTAGTCTATTACATTCTGATTTCGTTTTGATTGAGATGTTTACATATAAGTTCTACTTTAAAATAAAGTCTTTGATTCTGTATTTTATAATTCTTGATTCAATGTTCCATAAGATTATATTGATTTCAATTTTTATTCTTCTAAAGGTACAATAATTCTAGATTATTGACTAGTTTATGCTCTCGTTTCAATTGTATTTGGAATAGTATCACATTTGATTCTGGAAGCTGATTTGGCTCTTTTCTCTGGAGGATTATGCAAAACTTAAGGTTGAGTCAATTCATGACCATTAATGATTTTAACAGATCCTCCTGATATAAAATCCTACATTTTAGTTTCAGTTCTCATTTTTAAGATTTCTATTTTACCCTATTACTTAGCTTTGAAGTAATCATGAATTGTTCCAGTTATATGTACCAATTATTTTCCAATTTAATACTTTTTATTTTTATCTTTGCCTTCAAGTAAGTACTTTGTGGCTTCAATTGTAGTTTTTGGTCTTTTGCGAGTATTATTTATGTAGGGTTCTTGTAATGTTCGTGGTAGTTGTGCATAACCATCAAATTTATCTGTTTAAGGAGTATATAGATTAGGCTTAGTTTATAATACTTCAGTAGTGTATGGCATATAAGCTTAATCCTAGTTTAATGAATTGTAATTTACTCCTTAAGCTTTAGCAACTCTTTCACTATAATTTGCTTTGCCAGTTAGTTCAATGTTAAACTTTTTAATATAGTCACCGTTTTTATTGATTTGTTTAACTTCTGCAGTTACATTATCTATTAAGTAGTATTTGTCAGTCTCCATGTCTTTGCTTTTAAGTATCACTGCATTACATACCTAATTGTATGACTTGCCATTTTTAGTATGTAAAAATAATGATATGTGTATAAATTATTAATATAAATTTGTATATGATAACATTTACTTCTTCAAAAAGTAGATTCTCATTATATTATTTGGAGGAGAGTGAGAAGTATTTACAGGATTTATCAGCAAAAGTTAGATAAATAAATATGTTAAAAGGAGAGGAAAGGTATATAATAATATTACTAAGCTTTAGATTGGAAAGAGGAAAGGTTCACATTTGTTCTAGGACTTTGATTTTTGAGCCAGAGAAATAAGAATTACCTATTTAGAAATTATTCTATCGTATGATTACAACACCAATTAAGCAAACCAACTTTATTAGTTTTAGGATTAAGAGGATTGTTGAGATTTTTACTTAAGGTCCTCCTTCACCTTATATCTATTAAGATGATGTGGATTTTGAAATTCAAATAGAACCATTATTTGATAATATCAAAGTGGTTAATGATTTGATAGAAAAAATATAATAGATTAATTAATAGAAACATGATGTAGAAAGTGAAGTAGAGAAATTGGATTCTGAGAAATTGCAAAAAGCTAGATTTAATATGAGTTTTGTAGAATCTGTTAGTGAGAAACCTTTAATCTAGAAGGAGATGCTTGTAAGAAGAATAATGCCATTAATATAAACTAAAGGTATTGGATATATATATATAATTAGGAATTATGTATATCACTAATAAGATTATATATTTTCAACCATTCTTTAAGATCACTTTAAAACCATGTAAGAAGATTTCGATTGAATAAATCAAGGTTTTGTATAAGCGAAGATTTGAATTACTTGATATTGGATTGGAGATCATTATGAAGAGTGGGAAGACCATTTATTATGCATTTGAGAATCAAGAAAGAATGGAGGAAGTGTATAAAGTGCTTATAGGTATATTTGTATATTGATTTAGTTTAGGAAAGGTGACAATAGAGGCAGAAACTAGTTTAGAGAAGATCCAATATCTATGGTAAAGTGGATAAATATCAAATTTTGAGTATTTAATGCGTTTGAATTAAGCTGGCAATCGTAGTTCTAGTGATTTAACTCAATATCCAGTATTTCCCTTAATCATTGTTGATTATGAATCATGTGAATTAAATCTTAATGATTCTGCAACTTTTAGGGATTTAAAGAAACCTATAGGAGCATTGAATGAGAAGAGATTGTAAGAATTCAAAAAGAGATATGAAGAAATGCCACCTCCAAAGTTTCTTTATGGTACACATTATTCAACTCCAGGATATGTGATAGGATATTTAGTAAGATAGAAACCATAATATATGTTAAAATTATAATCAGGTAAATTTGATAAACCTGATCGATTATTCAAAAGTATTAAAGGTGATTTTAAGAATGTAATTAATAATCCAACATCATTGAAAGAATTGATACCTGAATTCTTTATAGAAGATGACTCATTTTTAGTTAATAAATTGAATTTGGATCTTGGAGTAAGATAGAATTAAAAGAAAGTTGGTGATGTGAAATTACCAAAATGGGCTAAAAGTGCTAAGGATTATCTTAGATTAAATAGAATGGCATTAGAAAGTGATTATGTTAGTAATGAATTGCATCATTGGATAGATTTAATATTTGGGTACAAACAAAAGGGACCACATTCTGTTGAAGCCGATAATGGTAATGTAAATTATGATTAATTCTTATTTAGTTTTCCATTATTTAACTTATGAAGGTACAGTTCAATTGAGTTAAATGTAAGATCCTATTGAGAGATAAGCAAGTATATGTTAAATCAATGAATTTGGATAATGTCCAAAATAATTATTCAAAATCTAACATCCTCCTAAATGTGCATTAAGAGCTGGTTAGATTATGTATAAGTTTGTTGAGTAGATACCAAAATAAAAGTAAGAGGAAATTCCAATAAATGTTGATGGTTTAATGTGGGAACATTTAGATAAGAAGGATTAATTTAGACATAAAATGATATAGAAAGTTCATAAGACGTAATAGATATATTATTAATATAATAGAAATATAACAGATTTGATAGTATTAGAGAGAAAGAATTTATTGGTTACAATTGGTTAAGATGGATTTCTGAAGGTAATTGATTTAAAAGAATTAATTGTATTGAAATCATTTAAAGTTGATGAATTTTGTTTAAGTTGTATTGTTACTTTAAAGCAAGATGAAATATTTGCTATAGGTAGTTGGGGTTCTTAGATACATGTTTTCAATATAAATTATGGAAGCAAAGTATAAATGGTTTAGAGATTCAATAATTCAGTTAGTTCTTTAGTATATTTAATGAAAAAGAAAACTTTAATTACAGGATCATGGGATTGTTCTTTAAAGAGATTTGAATGTTCTGAAAATTAAATAAAATAAGATAGTGAAGAATTAATTGATGATTGGGAAGCATAAATTACACATATATCAGCTACAGAAGATGAATCTATGATTGCTGTTGGTGATATTGATGGTAGAGTAATTACAATTAATACTAATAATTGGACATAACATAATCATTATGAAATTAATGGAGAGAAAATAGTCAAATCATTATTCTTTAGAAAAAGTTTATTGGTTGTTGGAGATACATAAATAAAAATGTTTAGTAATGGAAGTTAATTATTAGATTTTAAAATAGATAAAAATAATGGATTAATAACAGATATTATTATAGATCATGATAAATATTTAATAGCATGTAAATTATATTTTATTATAATTATGTAGGTACAAAAAAAGGATATGTGGCTGTATTTTCAATGGTATTAGAAAGTAAACTTGGATATTTATTTACTGATTTCTCTAATTAGAATGATTTGATTGTAAATTAAGATTAATAATTTACAAAGATGATAATTAGAAATAAGACACTTATTTTAACTAGTTAGAATGGATGTATAAATGTATTATAATATTGATATTAAATAATTAAATATTATTATTATTATTATTATTATATTTTATGTAAGTGGAAACTTATGAAAAAGGAAGAGAAGAATATCAAAGGAGATATGGAAAATTGAAAGATTATTTTTCATCTTTGAAAATCAAAGACAATTCAGAAATAACAAAATTTGATAGTTCTGATTTTGATTTAACAAAGTTGTAAAATAGATTAACTGATTAAGCAGAGAAAGAGAAATTAGATGAAAATATAATTGGATCAAAAGATATTGTTCAATAAATCAATCATGATTTCAATGTATTAATTTATGGGATTGGAAGTAAAATTGAATTACTAGAAAAAGTAATGAGAAAATTAATGGAGTATTTACATTTTTGATGTGTTTTATAGGAATAATCCATAATCGTATTTTTTTGTTATGAAAGGATTCAAACCATTAATTAATATGAAGATGTTCCTATAAAAAATGGGTGATGTTTTGAAAATAGACTCACATATAAAAAATTCAGAATAAATTATTAAATTTATTGAAAACACTCCTCATTCAATTATTATTATTGTACATAGTATAGATGGTCGTCATTTATTGAATGAATAAGCATAAAAATTATTTGGGTAATTAAGTAATTGTCCAAATGTTCGTATGGCTTGTAGTTTTGATAATTATCGTTATCCAATGATATGTAAGATTCAAAGAGCATTTTACTAATGTGTGCATACTAATCAACCATATAGTTAGGAAATATTATAAATATTTGAAGATTAGGTAGGAAAATAGAAATAAGAAGAAGGATTATGGTATGTCTTATCAAGTATGACTTAAAAACAGAAAAATATTGTATATTATTTTGCAGGAAAAATATTAGAAAGCAGAGATGTATATATAATATTTATAAAATTTTAGGGATTGAATATTTAAGATTTGTATGATGTTCTTTCAGATGAGATGATTGTATCAAGCAAAATATAATTGAAAGATAATCTTAAAGAATTGATGGATCATAAGATAATAATTGAGAAAGGTGGGAAGTATACAATGCAATATTCAAATACAATCCTATAAGAATTATCTTCAAAGTTTGATGAAGTTATAAAATAATGATATTGTGTTTTGTTTAAATGTATTTCTATCATTTATATGCATCTTGTATACTTCTAAAAGAATCTACCATATGATTTGTACATTTCTCTATTCATATTATAACTAATAATATACCTAAACATTGATGATTATCTTTAGTAAGTGTATCATCTTTGGAATTTAAGATTCCACAACGAATTTAACAGACACTGGTGAATCGTAAAAATAAGCCTAAAGTTTCTCTTTATTAAATATTGTCCATAATAATATAATTCACACGTGTGAATGAGTGATGTGAAATAAAAAGACAAATGACCAGGTTTCAATAATAATTTTAATGCCTAGCAAAACCAAAATTCTGAATTATATGAGACCAGCAATGGCCATAATTCCAGATGTGGCTGAACCTGAAAGAAGAGTATATAATTATTCATATATAAAATTAGATTTTGTTTAAATATAGAGCTTTGTGGACTGCTATTGCAACACTTCTGTATTTAATTTGTTCACAAATTCCACTTTATGGTATTTACAAAGCATCTGCTGGAGATCCCTTTTATTGGTTAAGAGTCATATTGGCATCAAATAGAGGAACATTGATGGAATTAGGTATTTCACCAATGGTTACAGCATCAATGATTATGTAATTGTTAGCAGGTGCAAAATTAATTGATGTTGATTAGAATGTAAAGGAAGATAAATAACTTTATTCAGGAGCATAAAAATTATTAGGAATCTTAATTGCTTTTGGTGAAGCATTTGCATATGTTTGGTCTGGAATGTATGGTGATTTAGATAAATTGGGAGCAGGCAATGCTATATTGATAATCATTTAATTAGTCTTCTCAGCTATTGTTATGATCATGATAGATGAATTATTATCTAAAGGATATGGTATTGGAAATTCAGGAACATCATTATTTATAGCTATTAATATTTGTGAGAATATTATGTGGAAAGCATTCTCTCCAATAACTCATAGAACTGAAATTGGTTTGGAATATGAGGGAGCTATTATTGCACTCTTTCATGGATTATTTATAAGAGATGATAAGATAACTGCTATCTAATCAGCTATCATGAGAGATTCATTACCTAATCTTACTAATTTATTAGCAACTGTCTTAGTTTTCATGATTGTTATCTACTTTTAAGGATTTAAAGTGGATATTCCAATCAAAAATAATAAAGTCAGAGGAGGATTAACATCTTATCCAATTAAATTGTTTTATACATCTAATATTCCAATTATACTCTAAACTGCTTTAGTTTCGAATCTTTACTTCCTTTCATAAATCTTATATAAAAATTTCAGAGGTAATTTCTTAATTAGATTACTTGGTTATTGGTAAGAATTAGAAAATGGATAAACTGTTCCTATTGGTGGATTAGTTTATTATGTCTCACCTCCAAGATCAATTTCAGAAGCAATCTTTGATCCTATTCATACTGTTTTATATACTGCATTCATTCTAGGAACTTGTGCAGTTTTCTCTAAGACTTGGATTGATGTATCTGGATCATCACCAAAAGATGTATTTAATCTGTATAATCTTTTTTTAGGTTGCCAAATAACTCAAAGAATAAGATATGTAAATAGTTGGATACAGAGATTCTTCAATGAAAGATGTACTTAAAAGATACATTCCTATTGCTGCTTCTTTTGGAGGAATGTGTATTGGTGCTTTGACTATATTGGCTGATTTCTTGGGTGCAATTGGTTCAGGTATTCTTTCTTTTTAATATTTTTAGGAACTGGAATACTTTTATCAGTAACTATTATTTATGGCTATTTTGAAACTCTCAAAAAGGAAAAGGAGTAAGGTACTCTAGAATTGTTTTGATATTTATCATTATATTAAATTTATGACGTAGTATTAATAATTAAATTAAAAGTCATTATTATTTTGGGTTCAAAACCAATATATTATATAGCCTTCTAACAGATACCAAGTTATTATTGACACTTTGCTACAATAAAAAGTGTCTAGGAAACCATTTCAAAGCACTAACTCCAGCAGTACGTATGTTATATACTGCAGATTCAGTTTCACTTTAAGTATTCATAGATTTTCTCTTTTATTCGTTATATGCTATTTTGGCCTCATGATAAGTCAGATTTAATTTTTTTGCTGCCTCTTTTAATTGCATTCCCTGGCTCAGCATATCAACTAATTCCTTTTTTTATTCAGAAGATATCGTCTTATTAGATGCTGGTACCTTCTTAATCTTTTTCATTTCTATTTCCACCTATTTCTTGATTTCATTCAAAATGTTCATATTAATTTATTTAACTTTTCCCTCCTGTAATTTTGCCTAATCTACCCTCAAATTATGAAATCGAATAGTGCGAAAGTGAATAATTATGATGTAAATCATTATAAAAAAAAGAAGTACATACTACGTCATTCCATCGTTGTTTCCAACTAAATCTTAAATATATAATAATTTATTATATAATAATATTAATTTATTATATAATAATTAAATGAATTTATTATTTAACAAAAAATACTGTAATCAAATATTTCCAGCTATCTCTCTCTTTATGTTCATTTTGAAACACGATATCGTTGGATTAGGCCTACTCTTATTACCCATATCTGAAGGCCTATCATTTGATATTCTGTTCTTACTTAAAACTATCTCTTTCCTTCTTCAAACTATATTACCTCTTAATTTCCCTAATAGGATCAGCCTTGTACTCATAATGACCAAAAAATCCATCAAATCCTTTCTTTAATCCATTAGCTGGACGAAAAGCTGACTCGTGTTTTGCTTACTTAAGATCAAGAGATTTCCTCTGACTCTAAGGTGGCATTTTAGTTTCTCCTAATATATTTTTGTCTTTTTCAAAAGTATAACCTCCATTCACAGTACTTCGAAATGGTTATTCCTTCTCTTTACTCTTGCTTTCCCTTCTTGCTATCTTTTTATTAATAATTTAAATACTCTTTCGAAATCACTATATCTATTATAATCATCCATCAAATATGGAATTGATTTATCCAAAACTTTACATCTTGGATTCGTTGTAACATTTCTAGGTGCAGAATATACTCTCCCATCTGATTGTTTCCTACTCTCTACGTTCTTGTAATCATAATCCTTCATATGCTAATAAGCACTGCCCATTAATTCTTTATATCCTGATGAAGGCTTAAATGGAGCCTCCTTATTACATAGTTTTTTTTGCTCCTTCTCATAATGAGTTAACACTTTATCAGGATCTATGTATGGATCTCCAACGGTTGTAAAACTCAAGGGTCCAAAATAGGATGATCTAATTCTTCCAGTACGAGTAGCACATACCTTCATATTTGTTGGTTCTGTTATTGGTTTACCATTCTCTCCTCTTTATGCTAATCATATTTATATTTAAGCATTACGTTTCTTTCTCATCTCCATACTATTGTCACCCAATCCTAAAGGTACAGGTGAGGAGAATAGACCAAATCGTTATTTTTGTGCATTCAGTTCTGCATCTTTTAGCATTTCCTTGCGAATCAACTTAAGTTCTTGTTCTCTTTCTTAACTATTAGACATTATATAATAATTTAATAATAGTGATTATTCTATTTTTTTTAGGAGCAGCTTTTGTTTTTTATAAAGGTTATAAGTTTTTTATTAAGCAGGTAAATCCAAATCAACTTAGTGAAATTAATTCAAAAAATTTATTGGTAACCAGTCCATCAATCATTTATACATAATTATAAAAAAATAAGATGGCAAATAAAGGGAATTACAATGTTTGGATAAAATATATATAATTAGATACTTCATAATGAAAGAAACATTAAAATTGAGATCAATTCTTTATGTAAGTTAATTTGTATATAATAATTGATGATCCATTTCTAATAAACAATTATAGGTAATTTAGAGGTTGAAATTAATATAAATCATGAGATGATTTTCAAAATGGGAAGAACATTTACTTTTTGGTGATTTTATATATATAATTTTAAAAGTTAAGTCTTAAGATGTAACAGACTTAGAAGTTTATCTATGATCAAGTATAAGAATTTAAATAAAATAAAATAAATACACAATTTTATTAATGCTATTATAAATTGGATTTATTAATATATGTTTATATATCATGTTCAAAATTGAAAAATTATCTCTAATAATTGAGCGTCATTTATAAACAAATGGAGTTTTAAAATCCAAATAAACTTATTAGAATGATAATTTTTATTTTAAATAAATATTTTTGAAAGATATTTTTTAGAAAGAGAATTGAAATTATTTCAATATATTTTTAATTTAACATAATATCAATAAATTTAGCTCAAATTTTGTAATAATCATAATTTAAATTTAATAACATTACTTGTTAAAATTTAGTATCGAAATATTTAACTAATTTTTAGTGATCAATTTTAGTATTAAGAATTGAAAAGAGTTTAAAACAATAAACAAGTGTTTTTATTAGAAATTGTAAATTAATTTAAAAAGAGCAACTATTAATAGTTTATTAGGTAAAATAACCAAATAATCTTAGACCTAAAAAGTAAAGATAATCAATCCAAATAAATTATAATTGCAACTATACTCTCAATCATAAAATAAAGTTGAGTAGAGAAAGTACTTCTATTATAATTTAATGAATATTGTATTATGAATATATTGAGAAATTGAGAATTGGCACTTATATAATATTTAGATTAATCATAAAAATATCAATCCTAACTTACACTCCTACTAAGAATATCTTCAATGTAACATCTAACAGCATCAAATTCATTCAATAAAACATCTCTAGCCTTCCTTAACAATTTCAATTATTCCTTTCTCTCCTTTGATCTTACTCCATAATTCACCTAAATATATAATTCCTCATTATACTTTTGAATCTTCTTTGCATTTTTATAAATCTTAATATGATTATTTAAGATTGGCCAATCTTTATTCACCATCCTTCTAATCCATTTAAGCTGCAATAATGTGTGCTTCTACACCATCTTATTCATCATAGAGTATGGAGAGCTAAGAGAATAATGGATATAAATTATACATACTTATAAATGTAAATAATCCAATTCTCCATTGATTTAATCCTTCACTCGTTAATGAAGGTTTTCTCTATCATCTTCAGCAGTTAATTATACTCTACTTGTACTATCTACTTAATCATATAATTGTTATAATAAATTAATGATAGCATTTGCTCTAACAGTGTCAATAACAGCTTCAGTTTGAGTAGATACAGTTACAAATTCATCTTTTAATTAATTGATATTAAAAACTTATGATCTTCAAAAATGGTTCATTATTTTATAGTGTCTCTTATGCTTCAACTTAAAGATCTTTCATTTATTATAAGACATCTGTAGTAGAGAATTGATGAGAATTATCTTCATAAGTATATTATTGAACAAATGCAACATTTCTTGGACTTCTAGGTAACAATTCTCTAATCAAATATCTAGCTCTTTTTATTAAACTACAAATAGCAAATGAATCATCTCTTGTAATTTCAAAATAAGCATTCTATTTTATACTCTAATTTATTATTATACTTCATGTTATCTGATTTCTTCCAATTAAATTAGAGTAGATTCATATTCATTAACAATATTTTCTTTCTCATTAATTTGAGTATCATATCTATTGGATTCATCTTCCAATAATCTAATTGTTGCATCAATACTACTATAATCATATTATGCTTCAGCTATTTTCTCTTTCAAACTCTCTAGTTATTAATTATCTAATATAAAATTCGTTTTTTTTTAATACATAGTTCTTAATCCTTGGTTAATTATTCTAGATCATCCTACTCATCTTATGCTATTTATTTTTCAATAGTATTCAATAAACTTTCGATTCTTAATAATTAGTCCTTAGTTTCTCAAAATACAAATTATATTATTACCAGAATCTTTTCTGTATTCACTTTGTATATCATTTAATACATTCATTCCGAATTTATCTTTAAACATACTATCCAAGAGAGTTTAGTCTTCTTAGGATAATTCTGTATTTTCTTTTTATGAGAAAACAGCACAAATTATCAAAAATACTATATAAAGTTTCATATTAATTATAAATGAATAATATATTCATTATAATTTTTGATTTAAAAAGTTAAAGAGAAATAAAACTATATATATATATATATATTAGAATAACAATAAAAAAAGTACAAAATTAGTCATTTTATTTCTTTATCAATATCTAAAGCTTTAGTTACTTTTTCCATTTTGGATGACTATTTAAAATCTATAAAATTCTGAAATGGATTAGATAGTTATTATGATTTTGATTTCAATATTTATTTTGATTGATTTCTATTCATCTAATATTATTTATATATTAAATAGATACTGAAAATAACAATGCATCAAAGATATCTAAATTACTTTATGGTTATTAATCTTTCTTAAGGTTTTCAACATTTTTCTTTCCAAATGATATTACATCATTCAAATATTATTGTAATATACTTATTATATCTGTAAAATCTGTAATTGATTTATTGGATTGTTAAATTAATTCAGGTAATTTTTTGATATTTATTTCTAATTTATCAGATAATGAAAATTCATATTCAGATTTGATTGGTGTTAAATAAACACTTTATTCAATGAAATAAGATATTAAATTTATTATTTAACTACATTTTTTATTATTCTATTTAATTCTAGGTTAAAAAAAATGTTTGAGTGTTTTTTTGAATAACCAATATGTACTTTAGTAATTAAGATCTTTAATTAATAATGATACCAAATATACTACAGAATTTAATACAATAATAAACTAGGTCAAATCCTAATCTTAACATAATTTCATTATTTACATTATAATAATGCTAATTAAAATTACTTGATTAAATGTTTAGCAAACTTTTTAGTTTTAAGTGATCTTCCACAAACTCCTAAATAAATTAGAATTTAATATCTAACACCTATTTTAAATATATTTTCAGCTATAAATTAAAGAATTGGAATTTATATTTAATGTATTTCTTATCCTAAAAATACTTTAATTATAAGATTAAAATGATCAATATTATCTGGTTCATGCAATATCAATTTTAATAATTTATATGTTCCACCTTAAATCATTAATTAATCCTTCATTTCAAAAAATATCTTTTAATAAAGATTTGAATCCAATTTATCTAAATTATTAAATATAATTCTATATAAAGAATTCTTTTAATTATTGCTTTTCAATTCACTAACAAGAAAGAATAATTTCTATATACGTATCTATTTTGTTTGTAGAGATTTCTAATTTAAAATAACTGCTAATATTAATGTTGTAGTGATTGAAATTGTTTAATCTAAATGTATTAATACATTATTCATCAATTTCTATTGAGTTAATTCCAACCATTTCTCAGAACTCTATTCATTTAATTATTCTATAATAAGATAGATTTCATTCCAAATATCTATAATAAAATCATCAGTCACATATGGATGAGTCAATATTCTTCTTAAACTTGTAATCAATCCTTCAACTTCAAATTCATACCTATTAATTCTTTAAATTAAAAGATTTAATAATTATAAATAGAGTAAAATTTAAAATTATTATTTAAGTTGAGGAATACTTCTAATGTATTATTATTCAACTGCAATTGATTTCTATTCAATAATTGATTAATAATATTATCCATCTTGACTATAATTCATAATAATAATAAAATACTCTTTTTCATCAAAATCTGAAAATTTCTAACATTATTACTCTACTTTCTCTTAATTTATGTATCCATTACTTAAAAATAGATTTTCAAATTGTTGTAGTAGATTATTAACTTATTTCTCATAATATTATTAAGATAATTTGTTATTGACTTTCAATAAACATATCAAAAAACATCTTGAAGTTGAAGTATCAATACTAATATTATAATTAACCTTTTTTTATAAATAATATATCTTACTTAAAAATTAGTTAATATTATATCTTATATTGATTTTAACTCTTTACATCTGACATCAGATAAGGGTTAAAAAAGTTGTAATAATTATTATAAATTATTTTTAAGATTTTAACTTTAAGTTATATTGATTTGTTGAGATAATTCATTTTTACCTTAAAAAATCTCAGATATTATAAAACTATGAGATTTATTGATTAAATCCAAACAATAATCAGAGAGTGATGATTACTAATATTTTTTGTGTATTTTTTAATAATAAGAGAGTATTCTGAATGTATTCTCTTTAGAATTTGAATTAAGTTATTTATAGATTTCAGTCAAATAATCTTATAGTATATTTTTTGTATTTTAAAAGTTATCCAAAATTTCAGAGAATAAATAATAAAGTTAAGTATTTTAATTTTATTTTAGATTTGATTTATCAGGAAATTAAAATTCTATTTATTAATATAATGGTTCATAAATTAAATTGGTGAAGAAATTAAATATTTGTTTTTCTGATAAAAATAATTTATAGAATTTTTTATATACCATGATTATTAAATTCTAACTATTAATAATTCTATTAAATTATTAAATCAAATAAATACAATTATTAAAAATAAGGAACTAAATTTCTAGCATTCTTCTTTTAAATACCAATTTTTGTTGTTAATTTTGTATTTCCATTCTCATCAACAAACATACCCTAAAAATCAAAAACATTTGTTATATCCTATTCATATAATTATATAAAGAAAAATGAATATATTTTTGAAACTAAAGACCAAAAAGGTTAATATAGATCTGGTTTATCCTCATATCGATATTAAAGGAGGAATTGAATGAATGAATAACTAAAACAATAAGGTTCTCTTTTAAATGCTTACTTGATAAATTATAAATAAACAATCTAATGATCACTTTCTTATATAGTCTATATAATTTAAAATAATTAAATACTTTTTTAATATTTTGTTCTAAATCTTAGGCTAATCTAAATGAATCCACTTTTTATCCAGAGAGTCCATTAAATCCCATTCTATAACTAGAATCAACATCACGATGATTATTAATTCTAAGAAGTTTAAGTACTCTATAAAAGCGAAATTCATAATCAGCAGTTTTCCATTATAATTTAATTGTTTTAGTAAGATATGAGCAATTAATCCAAAGATGGGATTATTGAGAAGTCATGATATAGAATATCAATTTTAATACATTTACATCATTATTCTTATCTTAATTCATTATATAATGATCCAATTTGATGGCTATAAATTTATAATTAAGACTATCCCATTTGATTAGTCTTTTAAATGCCAATATAATGTCTTGAAATGTTAAATTAGTAATCTTTAATTATTATTCAGAATTTCCTATGAAAGAATCAAATAATTTTTCAGCATAAGTTCTAAAGGATTACTTTTAAGTTAGATCAATTTAAATTAAATCAATTAGAAATTAATGATGAAAGGATTTCAATTACTTTTATCCTAATAATTAGATTATTTTATTCAATAAAATTTGATCTTCTTATATTATTGCTTTGGAAAAGATGTTTAACATAATTTTAGGATGCTTTTCCAATAATTTTTTATTTGATAATAATGCAAAGCAAAATTGATTGGTGTTAAAATTTAAAAAATAATCTTGAAGTAAATTTATTCCATCCACAAAATCTTCATCTCTACCTTAATATAAGGAGATTGATTTAATTGTAATTCGAAGAAAGTTATCAAATTGAGATTACGATAATTGTTGACAAAAATAACGATCACTATAAAGGTTCTTAATTTATTCAAGGAGATCAGAAGACTTTAATAATTTCATAAACCCTAAACAATTGCTATAAGCTATCTAATCAGGAGAATTTGTATTGTTGAATGCTTCCAGAACAGTTTCAACATCTAACACTTTTTGATTACCAATCTAGCGCCAAACATCCATTAATTTTTGAATTATTTTATTATATAAATTGAAAAATACTAACAATAATATATTTATAATATTGTTTATTATTTAATATTAAACTTATTATAGAGATTTGAATAATTTTCTAGAATTGAAGTTGAAATGTATTTTAGATCTGAATATTATAGATTAACATCATTAATAATTGAAATTTTTTAAAATATATTATTGTTATTATCTAATAATATAATATTATTATTCAATTATTAAATGGATAACAACTAATAAGTTAACTTTCTAGAAGACTAAGAATAATTTTATGAAGATAATGAATATGAATAAACTATGGGAAGATAATTTGAATCAGTTGTTGTAATTAAAGATGAAAAAGGTGAAGTACAAAAGAAATATACATTGACTATCCAAATTATTAAAGCAAGTTATTTATTCAAATATATTTATTTAGATTATCAAAAACCATATTTAGGAGGTTTAAAAAATAAGAAGTCTGGTGCTTTATTACATCATGCATTTGCTTAAACTAATTAATATCGTAGAGAACATAAAGAGAAAAATCATAGAGATACATAAACTCATTTTGAATCTACTAAATCAACTATTATGATGAAAGAATTTGGTACATAAATGGAAAAAGAAGATCTATTTATTGATTTAAGAAATGATAGAACATTTGAACCAAAATTGTAACAGTTATTTATAATGTTTTAGATATTTTACAAGTGAAATGTGGGAAGAAAGAAGAGAAGAAGCTGCTTTATTTATTTAAAGATTAATTAGAGGTTGGTTTGCTAGAAGAAGAACTAATGCTTTAAGATAAAAAAAATAATAATTATAAAATGAGTAATTGGAAAAAGAAGAAGATTTTAGAAGATAAGAAGAAGTAAGACATAAAAAAGAAATAGAAAGAAGAACTAATCCAAGAACTAAAGAAGATTTTTAAATTTTATATGAAGAATTAGAAGTATTATTTATTTATTTATCTCTATTAATTAGTTATGGAGAACAACTGAAATTGCTAGAATTAAATCTTCTGCTATGACTGAAGAAGAAAAAAGGGCTGCTCTTAAATAAGTATTAAATAAAGAAACAGATTTATTATAAACTATTGACAGATTAAAGATTATAGCTAATCAAAAAAATAAAGATGAGAAAATTAATAAATTTTTGAAATCTATTTCAGATCCTAAAAAATGGTTAAGAAAATCTGATGGTAGATTGACTGAAGTTCATACTCTATATACTACTAGAGCAAGAGAATTAATGGATATTTATAATGGTATATAATATTATTTTATTATAGGTTTAAAATAAAGAAAATTAAGTTTAGATGAAAGACTTGATATACTTGTTAATACAAAATGGACAGTAAAAGAATGGGATTGTAATTTAACAAGGGAAATAGTTGATTTAATAGATAGAGAAGCAGATATGTTAAATAGAGGTAGACCAGAACCTTCTTTAGAGGGTTTAAGATAAAGATTATAAAATTTATTTTTATAATTCATAGAAACACCAGAATTCAATCCAGAAGCAGCAAGATTTTAGAAAATTCCATATGAAATTCTAAAATCCACTTCTTGATAATAAAATATTAAACACCAAAAGATGTTAATTAATATATTTATATAAAAGTATGTTATATTAACATGCAATCTAATATTTTCATAAATTCTTTTTAGATTAATTTTAATAATCTTTATAAGAAAAATATATAATATTATTATTAATTTATAATCTAATATTAATAAAGATGTAAAAATTATATAATAGATTATCAATCTAAGAATCAAATATCTATATGACTATTAACTTTTGGGATTTCAAAACTTTGAATTTATGCCTAAATTAATTCATTTTCATGTAATAGTTATTCAATAGATTGTTATTTATTATTACTACCATTTCTCTATTAAGAATTTTAAGACTATTATAAATAATATATATTTACACTTATACTTCTTGAAAATTGATTACTTTATTTATCAGTTGAATATGTACAAAACTATATTGCGCTATCTAAAAATAATTATTTAGTTTTTTACTCTGCTTTTTTTGGCTTGACAATTCATCATATTCTAAGCAACTTAATTTAATAATACGTATACATTGATTAAACTTAATTATTGAATTCTTCTAATTTATTATTTACAAGATAATCTTTATAAGCCTTATTAAAATTCTCAATGAATTATTTCTAATTTTCATTTACATGCTTAATTTCTAGATTTCTATTAATGTTATTACGTTTTAATTCTTCATTGATTTCATGTAATTTTATGTTATTATACTGATTCTTCTCAATAGTCTATTTGAGTTGATCAAAATATTATTCATTTAACATTAATGATTGCTTTCTATAAAGAGTACCATTTCTTGAACTCTCTTTGACAGTTAGATAGTATTCCTTTACTTTCTAAGCATTAAAGTAATGTAATTTTGGGAACTATACACCTTGGTCAATTAATCTTTAATAACTACAATTAGAAAACATTTAATTACACTTAAGTGATAGCTAAATTATTTGGATGCCATAGGTTCCATACAAAAATGCTTTCAAGTGCTAAACGTATTAATGTATTACCAAGTAATATAAGAGATTAATCTAAGTAATATTTAATTGTACCTGGTTAATCACTAAAATAAAATTTGCCTCTCTCGTTTTTCTTCTAATCTATCATGATAATATCCTCTATCAAATAAATAATGTTATTGGTCACAGAATAAACAATACAATCATAATGAAGATCCATTAGTTCTTTTGTCAACTGCTCAGCTAAACATACCAACAGACTTACTCTCATTGCAAGTACTTATTATATAGGATGTGATTTCGGACTTTGAAAAATATCCTCCAAGGTTTCAATTACATAGTTCAACGTATCCCTAAATTGATATTACATCAATATACTCATTCTAAATATTTTCTTTAAATTGTTTTGTGTTTTTATAACTTCCTTCAGAAGATAAACATTCTTTTAAATTTTTCATAAATTTATATATATAAAACAAATATATTTCCTTATATATGTATTTCAAATCAATAGATATCTATCATATCATACATCAATTAAATAATTATTAATCACTATAAAAAGCAAATCATAAATTAGTAAAAAAACTCAAATAATGTCTAAGAATTCCTTGATATCTTTTTCATATTTCTTATCAATTATTCCATTTTTTAATTCAATTTTTAATTAAGAACAATCTTCATATTCTTTTGATTCTTTCACATAACACCAATGTCCTTCCTCCAACCCATTCTCATTAAACATTCCAAATACTCTAATAATAATAAAAATTATTTTTAATTACCTAATAGGATCTTGTTTCTTTAAAGTTTGTTCAAATCTATAAGGTTGATTTGGTAGATATCTTTTTATTTTACGTGATTCCCAAAATCCATATTTATTTCCTTCTTTATAATCTCCAATTTAAACTCTCCAAAACCTAAATTATGAATATCTACTTACAAATCATTTTGTTGTTCGAATTCCTTCCATTTTCCTACTTTCTTTCCATTCTAATATTTACCACCACCTCTATTTATATATGTATAGAATTCAACCTTTTGAAATTTACACCATCTATCATAAAGATGATTTCCCAATAACCATCCTTCACATCATCCAAATACCATCCTTTTGAATAAAGAAAAGAGTTTCCAAAAGTTCTTGTAAATTTAGAAATTTCAATCCATGCTCCTTATTTCTTCCCATTTTTATCATAAACCATTTTAGGGCTAAAATAAATATCAATACTAATACAATTGTAATATAATGCTTAGAAAATAACCTGGTACTTTTTTTTGTTAGATTGTCCAATAACCTTTTTTTAATCCTTTATCATAATTACCTTCTTCAAGGTATTATACACGACTACAAATTCTATTAACAACTTTTACACTTACTTATTGAAATATTCAGAAAGATCTATCCAATGTCCATGTTTCACACCATTTTCATATGTCCCTCCACCTCTAAACTATATAAAATTAAATTACATGATTGTGTATTTATTTTCAGAAAAATACTTAAATTTTGTACTCCAATAACCATTTTTAACATTTTCAATATAATCTCCTTCAAACACAAGTAAGAAATCTCTTAGTATAAAGATTATGAATACTTAGAAAATTGAGGATGTAAATCAACCCATTTTCCTACTTTTCTTCCTTAATCATCATACATTCCTTCACCTCTAAATATAATATTTATTTTTACATTGACATTTTTCCATATTAAGTTTGACAAATATAAAGTAATTTACTTGTAACCCATTTTCCAACTCTTATACCTTCCTAATATATACCAGATTCAATAAGTTAATCAATTCTATTTTATATTAAAAAATTAATGATTACTCTGAATAATTGCAAAATAATTCATTCCAAGGTCCTTCTTTGTGTCCATTATCATTATATCTGCCTCCTGCTAGAATTGGTTTATTTTCCCAAAGAGCCTTCCATTCTCCAATTTATTAGTTTAAATTCCCATATTATCCTAACCATTTTAAATTGATGATTTATTGAAGATTTTTTGGTATGAAATCACCTAAATTGTTCTGTCTTTTATATCTATATATATAATTACATCATTATTTGTATGCCAAATATTTCATAAATTAATTAATCTTTATTTACATAAATGAGATAGAGAGTAGCAATTTAATGTTAATCACATATTTGTATTTCAATTACTTTTTCACAAGAGGGTTTAGTATATAACTTTTAGATCATTATTTTAACTATTATATTTTACAATTAATGATAAAAATTATTATTACATTTATTAATACATGAATGATAATACAAATAATTTTAATTTTTTTGCAATCTATTAATATACAGAATGAAAAAAAAAAAGATCCATAAAATTATATTAGATAATATTTAGTAAATAATTAAATTTTATGATGAAATATTAAATAAATGTATAATAATCATATTGAACTTATAGGAGACGATCAGTTTGTTAACTTTTTAATGGATTAGAATTAGTATTAATTTATTAATAAAGATTAAATTTTCCATATGTTAATAGTAGCTCAATTATGTAATGTCAAAATTCTGATGAAGATGATCCAAATAAGTTATTTTCTATATATCAATTACCTAAATAAACTTAAAGAAAGAAATAATAAAAAAAGAAAAAATCAGAAGAAACAATCTTGACTAGCAAATCAAATTTTAAAAACACTTACATTAACAAAATCTCAACCCTTATTTAAGAATCTAAATAAATTATAACTCCTAAATTAGAGAAGAAAGTATCTACTTAAACAGATGATTCTATATAAGCAANTTAACAACTTTTACACTTACTTATTGAAATATTCAGAAAGATCTATCCAATGTCCATGTTTCACACCATTTTCATATGTCCCTCCACCTCTAAACTATATAAAATTAAATTACATGATTGTGTATTTATTTTCAGAAAAATACTTAAATTTTGTACTCCAATAACCATTTTTAACATTTTCAATATAATCTCCTTCAAACACAAGTAAGAAATCTCTTAGTATAAAGATTATGAATACTTAGAAAATTGAGGATGTAAATCAACCCATTTTCCTACTTTTCTTCCTTAATCATCATACATTCCTTCACCTCTAAATATAATATTTATTTTTACATTGACATTTTTCCATATTAAGTTTGACAAATATAAAGTAATTTACTTGTAACCCATTTTCCAACTCTTATACCTTCCTAATATATACCAGATTCAATAAGTTAATCAATTCTATTTTATATTAAAAAATTAATGATTACTCTGAATAATTGCAAAATAATTCATTCCAAGGTCCTTCTTTGTGTCCATTATCATTATATCTGCCTCCTGCTAGAATTGGTTTATTTTCCCAAAGAGCCTTCCATTCTCCAATTTATTAGTTTAAATTCCCATATTATCCTAACCATTTTAAATTGATGATTTATTGAAGATTTTTTGGTATGAAATCACCTAAATTGTTCTGTCTTTTATATCTATATATATAATTACATCATTATTTGTATGCCAAATATTTCATAAATTAATTAATCTTTATTTACATAAATGAGATAGAGAGTAGCAATTTAATGTTAATCACATATTTGTATTTCAATTACTTTTTCACAAGAGGGTTTAGTATATAACTTTTAGATCATTATTTTAACTATTATATTTTACAATTAATGATAAAAATTATTATTACATTTATTAATACATGAATGATAATACAAATAATTTTAATTTTTTTGCAATCTATTAATATACAGAATGAAAAAAAAAAAGATCCATAAAATTATATTAGATAATATTTAGTAAATAATTAAATTTTATGATGAAATATTAAATAAATGTATAATAATCATATTGAACTTATAGGAGACGATCAGTTTGTTAACTTTTTAATGGATTAGAATTAGTATTAATTTATTAATAAAGATTAAATTTTCCATATGTTAATAGTAGCTCAATTATGTAATGTCAAAATTCTGATGAAGATGATCCAAATAAGTTATTTTCTATATATCAATTACCTAAATAAACTTAAAGAAAGAAATAATAAAAAAAGAAAAAATCAGAAGAAACAATCTTGACTAGCAAATCAAATTTTAAAAACACTTACATTAACAAAATCTCAACCCTTATTTAAGAATCTAAATAAATTATAACTCCTAAATTAGAGAAGAAAGTATCTACTTAAACAGATGATTCTATATAAGCAAAACTTATTAGAAATAGAGAATGTGCTAAAAATTCAAGATAGAGAAAGAAGATTTATTTAGAATTGTTAGAAAATAGAGTAAATATATTAAAAGAAGAGTTAGAAAATTGTAAGAGATTTATTAAAAGTCACAATAATTGTATATCATAAATTGGATCTAATTCATAAGTATTTATTTTTAAAATATTTTAGTTATAAAAATATTATGTAGGTAAATAATAATTATTTGACAAATTAGAATCAGCAGTGTAAAACAATTATGATAATAATGAGATTAATTTATTACTTGACTCAGTAGGTAAGGAAAAGATGGATGCTTCAAAATATTTTTTGTAATAAATAATGGAAATCTCTTGTCCAATTTATGTGAAATATATACTATGGGCTTCAGGTTCAAATTTAACTGAACCAACCTGGTTTACTGATATAAATAGAGAAGCAAATATATCAGACAATTAAATGAAATCTTTAAAGATATTATATAAGAATATTTAATCAGATAAGGAGAAATTACAAGAGTAAAATTATAATTTATAATAGTATCATTATTTAATTGTAAAATGTTACAGAAAATCTCTAATAATAAACTAATTCTATAGGAAATTTCATTGATGAAATGAGAAATATCCTCACTCCTACTTAAGTAGCTAAGTTTTTGTTAGGTATAGAGAAGGTAAAAGAGTGTCATTTATTTTTAAGAATAAATTTCAAAAGGAATTTAGATTATCAAATTTTTGTAAATAATTTGAAGATGAATTTGATACAGATATAAAACAAGAAGAATTGTAATTTGATGATATATTGTAAAAAAAGATTCACATTTGATATATTTTTTAATTAAAATCATTATTTTTATAAAATTTAATCTCTAATTTGATTTCCAATTAAATGTCTATAATTTGGATCTCTTTTAATCTTTCTTATTGATCTAAAACCTTCAACTGATTACAATAGTTGATTCTCTCTATCTTTTACTTATGAATACATAGTCTAAGGCATTGTAGATAGCATTCTTTCAAATTAATCTATTTCTAACATTGCATTATCTTTAAAATCATTATCCAAATTCATTTCATCTACTTGAATTGTATTTTGAAATTTCTCTAATTTTTAATCAGATGTTTCAAATTTATTTCTAAGTTTCTCTTTATTTACAGATTTAGGTAATAGATTGGAACTCATAAAATGATTAATTAGAATTGGATTTTTATGTTTATCAACATAAGTAAGATTCTTTATTGGTAATCCTCTAAAATCAGGTAGATCATAAGTGGATTATTAAATGAAAGATTGTTTAGGTTTGCTCAATCTTTGAAATAAAGGTTCCTCTGTAAATTAAGTGGCAGGAGCAGATTGATAAGTTTTTTTCAAACCTATTTTTGCATAAATTTATTCATTTTTGAGTTTTCTCTATTCAAATTAATGATGTTTCTCTTAGTTCTTTTAAATCCTTTCAGCTTCTTATTATTCTCTTCTAACCATCTCAGCATTATACTTTTTCTTCACTACACAATACACATTTTGCATTCCAGCAATCGTTTAAGGTAGAAATACTAAATCTATTTGTTTCTTTGGCATATTCTCAAGATGATTCCAAACAAAATCTGTTCCATTGATCACATGTTACACATTCACATTATTATATAATTCAATGTCATCAGAAGGCAAAGCCTATTAAGCTTTGGTTATAGGTTGATGACTATTGACTTAAAGCATAGCTTATTCTAATTTTCTTTTTTATGATCTGGTAGCACTTTCAACTCTATGCTTATTAATAACTTCTCTTTTAGAAGACATTATTATATATTATTATACAAACTGTTTTGATTAAATTATTACAAACAATAATTATTTTTAATGAGACTAGACAGATTAATCAAAAACACAGTATCAATATATTATATATCATAATTTTACACTTTGGTTATNCATTATTTAATTGTAAAATGTTACAGAAAATCTCTAATAATAAACTAATTCTATAGGAAATTTCATTGATGAAATGAGAAATATCCTCACTCCTACTTAAGTAGCTAAGTTTTTGTTAGGTATAGAGAAGGTAAAAGAGTGTCATTTATTTTTAAGAATAAATTTCAAAAGGAATTTAGATTATCAAATTTTTGTAAATAATTTGAAGATGAATTTGATACAGATATAAAACAAGAAGAATTGTAATTTGATGATATATTGTAAAAAAAGATTCACATTTGATATATTTTTTAATTAAAATCATTATTTTTATAAAATTTAATCTCTAATTTGATTTCCAATTAAATGTCTATAATTTGGATCTCTTTTAATCTTTCTTATTGATCTAAAACCTTCAACTGATTACAATAGTTGATTCTCTCTATCTTTTACTTATGAATACATAGTCTAAGGCATTGTAGATAGCATTCTTTCAAATTAATCTATTTCTAACATTGCATTATCTTTAAAATCATTATCCAAATTCATTTCATCTACTTGAATTGTATTTTGAAATTTCTCTAATTTTTAATCAGATGTTTCAAATTTATTTCTAAGTTTCTCTTTATTTACAGATTTAGGTAATAGATTGGAACTCATAAAATGATTAATTAGAATTGGATTTTTATGTTTATCAACATAAGTAAGATTCTTTATTGGTAATCCTCTAAAATCAGGTAGATCATAAGTGGATTATTAAATGAAAGATTGTTTAGGTTTGCTCAATCTTTGAAATAAAGGTTCCTCTGTAAATTAAGTGGCAGGAGCAGATTGATAAGTTTTTTTCAAACCTATTTTTGCATAAATTTATTCATTTTTGAGTTTTCTCTATTCAAATTAATGATGTTTCTCTTAGTTCTTTTAAATCCTTTCAGCTTCTTATTATTCTCTTCTAACCATCTCAGCATTATACTTTTTCTTCACTACACAATACACATTTTGCATTCCAGCAATCGTTTAAGGTAGAAATACTAAATCTATTTGTTTCTTTGGCATATTCTCAAGATGATTCCAAACAAAATCTGTTCCATTGATCACATGTTACACATTCACATTATTATATAATTCAATGTCATCAGAAGGCAAAGCCTATTAAGCTTTGGTTATAGGTTGATGACTATTGACTTAAAGCATAGCTTATTCTAATTTTCTTTTTTATGATCTGGTAGCACTTTCAACTCTATGCTTATTAATAACTTCTCTTTTAGAAGACATTATTATATATTATTATACAAACTGTTTTGATTAAATTATTACAAACAATAATTATTTTTAATGAGACTAGACAGATTAATCAAAAACACAGTATCAATATATTATATATCATAATTTTACACTTTGGTTATGAATTGCATTGATACCCTTTCTATTCAATACTACTATTTATTCCTTCAAAACATTTGAAAGCATCATTGTTTCTAAAAGTACTTTCTTTAATTCTTATTATCTTTCTTTTTTATTTGCAGCTTTGGCATCACCTTCATTTTATTTGATATCTTCTTTTTAAGAAGATCCAAAATGTTATAAACTTTTTTAATTTTTTTTCTAATCATTAAGTACTTCCCAAATCTTTAATTTTTTTTTCTCATTATATTTACTCCTTAAAATATTATATTCTCTTTAAAATTCCTCTAATGTTAGATCTCTTTAAAAATGTTCCAATTCATATACATGAACCTTTAAATGTCCTTATGCAGTCTTATAGGCTCTATAAGTAATTTTGCTATCTAATTCTTATGATAATTCATTAGCTTCTCCCATTTTAATGAGCATTTCATATTCATATTCATTCTTACCTTAATTTATAGTTAATTATAGAAGTCTATCCTCTTCTTATTATTTTTGCTTAGCTAATTATAAATAATGTTTAGATCTATTTTATAATGGTTTATCATTAATGTTAGATCTATTTAGATATATATTGTATAATTTACATTTTCAAATCACTAAAATTAGATTGATACTTTTTTGAAATACCACTAATTGGTCTGGAATCAACTTTATTGAATCCAGTTCTTTTGGAGCTAGCAGATTAGGGTTTTGGTTTCTTTTGGGCAGAAAACTTTCTCTTTGATTCTTATGCTAATTTGAGTGCTTTTTCCCTTATAAATTCTAACATTGCATCTATAATAATAATATTGTTAGAATTATACTCTCATTTTAATGCCATGCTGGTATTTTCTTACAAAGACTTTCAATAGTGATTACACCATTATCATTAGATAGATCTGTAAGTATTTAATTGATTTCATGTTAATCAAATTGAAATCCTTATTTATTAATGAAATATTACCTGATTCTAATAGAAACCCAATAAATTCAGTTTATGAAGCCATGATTGTATGATTCTTCCAGAATTATTCAATTAATATTTTGTGAAAGGATACTAATTAGTTAAATTTCTTAAGAGCAGGAGAAGTAGGTATGGCTTCTAAAATTTTAGGTTATTATTCTATGGTTTGCTATTCTTATTTTTTATACTAAAATTTGGAACTTTCAGGTCTTCCATGTTTAGATTCAGGTCTTTTATTAGTAACTTTAGGGTATAACTTAAATAATGTAAATAGAAATACAGCATATTATTTTTCAAGATTCTCTTCAAATTGATAATCTTCACTATTGTCATCTTGAAGAAAATGCTAAAGTAATAATGAATATAATAGTAATACTTAATCATCTTCACTCATATTATTAAAAATGATTATATAAATGATTATAAAATATATAATAATTTTTCAAAAATATGATGCTGTTTTCGGTGTTGTTTAAGATTACTTAATTATCATAGTACTTTAATTTAGTTTGTTAAATTGCTATAATATAATTCTTAGAATACATTATTTGTTTCATCGAGTTTGATTAATAGATAAGCTTCTTATTTTTTGAGTTCTTCAATTTATTATAATTTTTAATCTGCTTCAATAGAGTGTTGAGATTTAGTAATTTAATGTTCTTGTAAAAATCGAAGGTATTTTTATTTACGAAAGTTTTGAATAGTTTATTAAGCAACTTATACTTAAGACTATACTTATTATTTTTATTCTGCTTTTTATTATTTTATTTCATCCATTTTCTATCTAATAATATACTCATTTCTTTATGATTACTCTTTAATATTCTTTACTTCTTATTATTTCATCTATCTAAAATTTTATTAAATTAGTTTTTTATCTTGAGATTGTTACATTTTCATATTCCTTGTTCTATGTATTAGATTTTGTAATTGCATATTCACTTATTCTTTATGAATTTATTTATATTCCTTAAATTATTCATGATCTTCTCTAATCTTATTTAATTGTTCTTATTTTTATTATTGAATTTATAATTTCTTTTCTCTTTACTTAAAATGTTAAAATCATACCTCATTTCATTCTCTAATTTAAGAAGACTTATTCTTCTTCTTACAGCTTCCAATTGTTTTGTAGCATCATAATATTCTTTCTTAGGTGAAACACTCTATAATTGTGATGTATCCACATGAGGTGCTGATGTAGAGAGATATTATTTAGATTATATACTCATAAATTAATCAATTTCTAATTTTTTTAGATCTCACTACACTAATATTGTGATTAAACACATTCAATGCAGATCTTGGAGTCATTATATTATGACAACTACTATGTCTTTAACTTGTATTTCGACTTGTATTACTAATATAACTGATTCCTGTATTTTTGCCAAAATCCTCTAATAATAATATTAAATTTGATTCCAATAACTATTTCAATTCAAATAAAGAAAGTGCATTATTCAATTTCTCTTATGCTGTTTTTATTGAATTACTATATTATTTTAATGTATGATCATTCAAATAGCGGTTTTGTTTTGTATTCACATTCTAATTGAATTAATTAATAAAATCTAATTCATTCCTTATTAGTTATTATGCTCTCTCTTAATTTTATATTAAATATCTTTATTGAATACTATCTATCATTTCATTTAATTGTAATTTCAATTATTCAAAGAAATTCTAAAATGGATTTTTCAATTTCATTATTAGTTCTTCACTCTCTTTCATTAAATTCTTTGCTTTCCTACTATTTTCATTAATAATTTAATCAAATTCTTCTATCTCTTTCATATCTTCTACATGTTTCCCATGTAATTTAATTACACAATGTGCACATGCCTTTTAATAACGATATGGGCATTCATGACAAGCACAAATAAATTGGATCAAGTTATTTTCATGTCCTTACAATTTACAACATTCTTATTATTCTAATCGAGAAGTTAAAGATTCCTTTACTTTTGGATTCCTTAGCATTTATTTTCGTTAAATTATATTAATAATATAATGGACACAAAAGTTCACGAAATATTTGAAAAGTTATTACAATTCAATTAAAGTGATGAATTATAAGCTCAATAAGCCTAATTAGAAGCACTATTAATATAGATAAAGGATGGTAATATTAATATTCAATTAGAAATGCAAATGCTTATTCAAGACACTCATTTTGGCAAAGATTAATATTACCTCTAGTAATTTGAAAGAATAGCTGATTCAAAGAAAAGATTAGATTAAGTCAATGCCAAGATGGTCAAAATATAATAAAGAGTTGATGCTATAGAGAAAAGATTCATTAAATTATCCTAATGAATGATATATAATTAATATTGATAAAGAATATTACTCATTTAATTTTATTACCCAAGAAAATCATTACATATAAATGATAGTATACTTCAATTTACTATTAATATTAAAGTTGTTATTATTATTGATAAGTTCTAATATATATATAAAATAATAATTTTATAATAAATTTATATAAATTGAACAATAATACTAATTAGAATATATTAATATAGATGAATATAGAGATTAAAAGGAAATATAAATTATATATATCTTAAGAGGTTATAAAATATTAAGTAAAATTTCAATTTTTATAATCTCTTCTTTTTTTCACTAATTAATAATATTTTAAATTATCTATCTTATATACTTCATTGCCAATAAGAAATGATTGATTTTAAGGTTCTAAAATGAATTCCTTGATTTTAATCTTATAAAAATCTTATAATTTGGTCATCTATTTGATTAACATCTTAATTTTGATTTGATTTACATTTTTATTTTGAAATTCATCAAAGAGCATATGTGAATTCATCTAAATGATTACATTTTGCTATTAAGAATCTTAATGTAATAAGTCTCATATATTTTAATCCCCTATACTCTTATTTATATTAATCTTATAATTTCTAAACATTTGTTTGATTTTCAATTTATTTTTAATTGTTTTAATATTAATCTCACATTCTCCATATATAATACTCTGACATTTATTATATTAAATTATCCATCATCATTATTATGAGATGATTATTCAAACATCATTTATAATTATGCATATTTAATTTTACTATTCATTAATAATTGTTTTTTTGCATGCCAATTATCTCAAAGCAAGTTCAACTATTTTACTCTATTATTATTTATTATAATAAATAAAATTGATAACTCAAATTACGATAACTAAAATAATAGAGATTCTATTCATTCAAAATTCTCCATTTTTCTATTTCAAATTATTTTAAATAATACATCTAAGAAGTCTCTTTAATTGATAATTGCATACTCTAAAATAATTAATCTTATTAATTCTTTTGTTTTTACAATATAAATATTGATTAATAATATGTGAATTAATATATTTTGTAAAGTATATCCAATTTAAAAAATGTTTTTACCTTTTGTAAATGTACTTTTAAATAACTCAAGTGCAGTTGAGATTTAAGGTGATTTAATAAGAGATTTCAAATTAGGAATAATTTATCTTAATATATATTAAAAAAATCCTACACTTATCTTCTCTTTACTTATTTAGTTACCATTCTCTATAATATATTGTACTTATTAAATTATTTTTAATTTATATCTGTACTATAAATAAATAATTTTATATGATTCCTTCCATCACATAAGCACACAAATAAATGAGAGAAAGTGGTATCACTTTTTAAACAAAGCTCTAAAAGTCACTCAAATTGTCTGAATAATATCATGCAACTATCTATTTAAAAAGAGAAGATTAATAATTGACTAGAGTATTCAAGATGAGAAGTGCTTTCACGTCATTACAATCACTTTCAAAAGAGTAAAAAGAAAAAGGAGTAGTAACAGTAAGTGATGGTAATTTTGCTTAAGCATTTGCCTTCTTTTGTAATCACTTTAAGATTAAAGGTATTATAGTACGTCATTATATTAAGGTACGATTTTTGTACCTGAAGTTTGTTATGGTTGGAAAATTGATTTAATATAGAAAAATGGTAAGTAATATGTTGAAATCAAAACAGCTGGTGAAAATTTTGATGAATGTGAATAGGCAGCATAAAAATATATTAAAGAAAATGATAAAATACTTATACATCCAAGTGATAACCTCAAAGCCATACATGGTTGTGGTACAATTGTAATATAGTTATTCAACATAAGGGAATTGAAATACTTGATGAAATGCCAGGAGATGTAGATTACATATTTTTACCTGTTGGATAAGGAGCACTTGCTGCAGGAATTGCTACTTATATCAAAGCTATGAGTCCAAATACTAAGGTTATTGGAGTATAACCAGATGGTGCTGATTCAATGATATAAGCGTTCTAAGCAAAATAAGTTGTTAAATAAGAACATTTTTCTAGATTTTGTGAAGGATCTGCAGTTCCATCAGTACCTAAATTATGTTTAGATATATGTATGGAGAAATTAGATTAATTGGTAAAGGTTGAGGAAGGTAAAGTTAGTACTACAATCTTATAATTATATAATTAAGGAATAGCAGTAGAACCTGCTGGTGTAATAAAATGATAAATATTAGGCATTATCTGTATCTGTACTTGATCAATTTGCTCATGAAATTAAAGGCAAAAATGTTGTATGTATTCTAAGTGGAGGTACAGTGGATTTATCTAGATTTGATGAATTTAAAGAGCATTCATAATTACATGAAGGATTAAAGTATTTCTTTTTGATTGAAATGCCTTTTAAATCTGGAATTCTTAAAAACTTTGTTAGTTTGTATTTGATATTAAGTAATTAAAAGTTGTCTTGGTCCTGATGATGATATAACTCATATCTAATTTTAAAAGAAAGCAAATAGAGAAAGAGGTCCATGTTTAGTAGCAATTGAAGTTGCAAAGAAGGAAAGTATCAAATAAGTAATGGAGAATATGAAGAAGATGCATTTATAATTTAAATTAGTGAATGATTCAAAGGAATTATATGATTTGCTTATTTGAATAATATTATTCATATAATAAATAATATAATAATTTAAATAAGAAATACATCATAACTAAAAGATTTCACATTCCATTATTTCTGTTAATTTAGGTCCTAAAATGAAAGTTTGTAAATTTTCTCTAGGATCTCTAGAATAATGTTATCCTATATTTATATATCCTTCTTTAAATTCAGCAAATAATTGAAGATCATTTTTACCAAACTATGGACCCAAATTTTAATTAACAAAAATTGCCTCATGTTTACAATCATTTTTAATTGGATAGATTTGCAATTACAAATTTGGAGATTAGATAAATAAAAATGATATAGCTTGATCATCTGACATAAATTATGGTTAAGGAGATTTTATCCATTAACAAGGTGAATATCCTCCAAAGGTACATTAACTATTTTTTGTTTTCATTATCATGAGTAGATTAGATTTATTTTATATTTTATTCCAAAATGTAGTAGTCTAAAATCCATCTTTTGATCCCTAATAAATAATTTAATTATTTGGATTCTATTATTATTTAATTCTAAAGAGAATATCCTAAAAATTTGCATTTGTTAATAAATTAGAACATTTAATATAGAATGGATTAACTTGATGTGATTTTTCAGCTATAGCTTTTTAAAATCCTTCTATTCCAGATTTTAATTAATCTAATATTTCTTTTGATGATGGAATTTTTAGACTTATATATATTAAAATTTAATATTTTACTTGATTACTTTATTTTTATAATCCTTAATTTGATCTTCAATATTCTTTTTGATTTCATCATTATTTCCCTTTATCATCTAATTAATATATTCTTAAATTTTCAATTCTATTTATGTATTAATTTCATGTCGAGTTTGTTAAATGATAGCTGATGTTTACTAATTGAAGTTTTCATTATTTATATTAGCCTAAATATATTATTCAAAAACCTCAAATTTGATAATCTATTATTTTATAATATTATATATACTTTTTTTAGTTCTATTCTATAACTGCTTAGTAAATTAGATAATATTTCAAAGTAATTATTTGTTTCATTTATCAATTTTTCTATAGAATCCTTTATATCTGACATTTACTTAATCCATTATTATTTAAAATTATTCAAATCTTCATTTGTTATTTTAACAATATTAGAGAAAAAATTCTTGAATGGCATATCAATATCAATCTTACTTAATAATACTTCTGGTAATTTTAGAACCTTATATCATACTATTAAAAATACTTTTTATATCAATATGCATTTTTCAAGTTGTAATCCTTATTCAAGTTTTTCATCTCTACATTCAATACACGCCAATTTTACAGAATTTTATTCCAATATAATATATTTGATATCAGCTGAATGCTTGGCACACTTTTCCATTATAATTAAAAATTTAATGATATTAAATTTATAGATCTATGTCCATATATAATTCTAATCTCCTTATATAATTATAAAAATATTCTATTTAAAATCAATATTCCTTATTATTGTAATTATAATCTAATATTAGACTAATATATCATATCAGATTATTATAAATAAATAATGGTGTAGAATTTTAAATCAAATATTATAACTATTTATTACATAAATTACGAATTGAAATATTATGGTACACATTTAAATCAATTTCAATATATTTTATGAAACTCATTTATCAAATTAATATTTTGAATTCAGTTTGATTTCTTAATTAAATATATTCTATAGATATAAATTTAATTTATTTTATTTTATGAATACACAAAAATAGTTTCTATCATTATTGGATTAGATTAAAAAGTTAAAAATTATAAACATATTAAAAAATAATATCAATATTCTTATTTATTTATATATATCTATATAGATTTCATTTTTAAGTTAATTTATTACATAATATACTATGATTCTTGCTCTATTACTAATTATCAAATCCAAAACTTTATTATGCTTTATTTGCAGTTCCTACAATATAAAATGATATTATATAATTTAGTTAATTTTAATATTATTTACTTTTTTTAATTATTGCAATCTAGTAATAATATTCGAAATCAAATCAGCAATTCAAACCAATAATTTTACTTACCTAAAGATTTCTATGATTTTATGAATATATTGTAGAGTTTAAGTGAATCCTATTTTGATATCTTTAGTTTATCCTTTGACATTTAGTTGATAATTTACTAAATTTAATTCAAGTCTTGCATTATTGTTGAATTATTTTGATCGGTCTTTTATCCAAAAATGGTTTCCAATAAATAAACTTATTTCTCTAATATTTAAAAGCGTTTCAAATTATCAGATTATGGCAATTCACATTTTAATGTGACACACTTTTCTGCTTTTGATCCCAGTATTGCCAAACATTTTATTCTCGATTAAAAATAGTAACCTTAAGGGATTCCAAATTATTTTCAATTGCATTCAAATTAACAATCATATTATCTCCTTATAATTCTTATTCTAATTCCATAGATTATTTGAAAAGACCAGTTTATTGTTAAAGAAATTCAATCTATTCTTTAAGAGTAACTTTTTCTTTGGGTGTCATCCTATCATTATACTCTTCAGAAGTACATCAATAATGTCACTTTCATAATAATCACTTTACATAACTATTTTATTCAAAATACATGTATCAGTATATTTGATTTTATATTTATAGTTATTATTAATTAAGGTATTTCAATATAATAGTAAATTAATCAATTCATTTATTTAACAACTTTAAATTGACTAAATTTCTTCATTTTAGTTATTAGCTATCATTATGATTTCTCTATTTGTAAGAACTTTTATATTTTTGATAAATAGGGATTTTAAATATTACATTAATATTATATCCTTTTGTAATGTGTCAATTTATCAAAAGAATTTTGTCATATCTTTATTTATAATATGTCTATAATTAATTATCATATAATTTTAGTTCTAAATATGTTTACTGAATTAATATCATTACACATTGTTTCATCCTTTAATATATCTTACTTAGTAATTTTAAATGAACAATTATTTTTAGCCTTTTACTATAATAATTATATAAACCTTCTATCTTAAATTTAGAATTAATTTAAAATCAATGAACATATTAAGTAAGATAGTTATATTTAGAATTGTAATAAAAATCTACTAATTTAATTATTATTTAATTTTCTTCATAATATTTTTAGTGATAATTAAAAGTAGATTAATTATTTTAATAATCACATTATTTTCAATTTCTATTATGAATTAGAAATGTAATAAGATTGGACATGATTAAAAACCTATAGAATATATATGTGTGCAATCAAAACCAATAGGATTAGGTTGTTAGAAATGTTATTAAGAGAATAAGTAAAAGTTAAATTTTTAATCAATAAAAAACTTTTAATTGTGTATGTAGGAAGCAAAATAAATTGTAATAAAATAAACATAAAATGGAAGAATAGAATAAATGAAATATGAATTTGATATGTAGATTTAAAAAATAAAGGATATAATGGAATTTTATTTATCTGGAGTAGAATAATAGATAAATAATTAATACGTAGAATTGAGTGGAATTATTAAATACATTGATAATTTCAATATAAGATCTCTAGACTCTCCAAATCCAGATCATTAATAATACCTACAATAAATATAAGATTAGAGTGTTGTTAAGAAATTTGATTAATTATAGATGTAAATTAATTAATTCATGCAAAAACTACACTCAATATCAATTGATATTAATGAATAAGTTAAGTTCTTATCAGAATCCATATTTTTTAGTCATTTGAAATAACTTATATAAAAATATGATTTACCATATCTATTTTAGAAGTAAATTGAAGAATTCTAAATTCCAAAAGAATTTTATTAAAGTGAATCGCATTATTTACCATTCGTATTTAAAGATAATATAGATGGAAACATATCATATATTGGATAATAAGAAAATGAAGAATTTCATGGTAAGGGATTGTTGTACTTAACTAAAAAAAATATAGTATATTATGGATCATTTATAAATGGATAATTCTGTTATGGAATATCATTGAATTTAAACAAGAAGGAATTAATGATTGGAGAGTTTGAATTTATAGATATCTTTTGTTATAGAATTCTAAATTATGGAATATGTATTAATTCTAATTGTGAAAGGTAATTATAAATTTTAATAAATAAGATATGAAGGAGATTTTAAGGATAATTAATTTGAAGGATATGGTTAATATGATTATAATAATGGTGATTAGTAATTATTTTTTATTTATTCTATTAGATATAAAGGATATTGGAAGGCTGGTAAAAGATTTGGTTAAGGAGAATTAATTAATTAAGAATTTGGAACGTATATATTTATATTGAAATTCTAAGGATTAAGGGAAATTTTGTAGATGGATATTTGAATGGTAAAGGAGAATTAGATTGTAAAACATAAAAGTATAATATATAATAAATTAGATATTGGGGAGATTTTAAAGATAATGAAATAGATGGAGTAGGTACTTTAGAAGATCTAATTAATAAAACAAAATATGTTGGTTAATTTTAGAAAGGATTGAAATGTGGAAAAGGAACTCTCATTTTTTAAGATAATAATAGAAGGTATTTTGTGATATTTAATGTGTTTTTATAGAATTGAAGGTAATTTTAAAGATAATGAACCATGTGGAAAATGTGTGGAAACAAATATTAGGATATATATTGAGAATCTTAAATAATAAATAGAAACAATAGTAGAAGAAGGAGAATATATAAATGGATTGAAAAGTGGATAATTTAATTGTCAAATTACATGTAACGGTTAGATAATAAAGTATGATATAAAAATAATAAATTTATAGAAAATTGAGATATTATGATTCTGGAGAGTTGATATTCGAAGACATTATCATTTGATTTTTAATTCATATTTCATCTAGTCAAAATTTTCTCTTGAAAATAAATTTATTATTATGAATAGTTAGAAATTTTATTATGGAGAAGACATAATAGAAAAGACTAGAGATTACTAACTTCCTACTTAAATTACAAGCATTGCAAGATCTAAAAGTGAAAATAGAAGGTTGATAAAATAAATAACTAAAACTTCCAATTCTCCAAACTCTAAATCCTAATTAAGTGGTTACAATAACATTACAGAATATAATTAGAATACTATAGGTTAAGATCGTATAATCAAAAGAAGAACATTGATACTTTAAAAAGAACTTCCTAATCAAGATACATCTAATGGCTTGTTATCATCTTAAACAAAAATAAAAATATTTAAGGCACCCTTTAAAAAGATTTAAACATCAATCGACAAGACATAATCATTTAATAATAATAATAATAATCCTAATTATAATAACAATAAAATGTAATCTCATCTTGAAAGTTTTGATAATGAATAACAATTTATTAATTCTTTACTATAAAAGGATCAAAAACCTGAAAGAATTGATAAATTAATTAAAATAAGGTTAGCTAAATCTTAAATGACTATCCATTCTCATTAAAGATCATAATAGACTGAAATTTCAATTGAAAAGTAGAAATTACCTACATAATCTTCTATTCGTAGAGAGAGTTAAAGAGATTAGAGGGATAAAAAGTATAGTGTCTATAAATATTAGATCAGTCGAATTAAAGCATCATATTTACAAGTTGTTATTGGCATTTGAAGATACATGTCAAATTTGGAAAGGAAAAAACAAATTAGAAAACTTTTTAGATAATGAATAGAAATTCGTTGGTTTTATGAATTTTACTTATAATCTAACCAATTTACCATTAAATATTGAAGTAAGTCTACATCCTATAAATGTAGGGATTGGAATAAATGTTTAAAGGTACAAAATATGTACTTAAAACTTTGAAACCTTATATACCATAAAGTTTAGAGAAATTAATATTCGAAGATTAGGAATGTTAAAAGTTTAGACAATTAACATTTCAATATTAAATATTTTATATCTTAAATAATCATTCTGAATTAATAGATACATTTACTAATTAATAAATTCGATTTATGGTTAGATAATCAAAAGAATGTATTGATTTGTAACATAATATTGAAAAGCAATTTCTCAATAAGAATTAAAATGATATGGAAAATATTTAAAGTCTTTTTGAGAAATAATTTAATTAACCTTACTAAACATTATTGAATGAGGCAAGATCATTTTATAATTTAGTGATTGAGTATGATTATGTGAAATAATTGTATTGTTTTTGTATAAAGGTACAGGATGCTTTATCATAAAAGATATAATAGGAAGCAAATAAAAAATAAGTTTATGAAAAAGGATTCGATTTTAAGACTGCCTTATCAAAGATTAAAGCAAAAGATGTAAGAATTATTTTAAATTGATTAGATAAATCATGAAAAATTGTTTGCTTAATTAATACCAAAGAAACATGAGATTATTGATAAATTAGATAAATTCGAATCTAAATTTGGTAGAATTGAATCTATATCTAATATTTAAAGAGAACAAGCTAAATTAGCTGATATGAAACATAATCAACTATATGAAAAGATTCTCAAATTATAAAAATAAATGGAATGAATCTCAATATTAACTATAGTATTTATACAATTAATGCTGCTAATATTTGATTTTTATTTTTAAAATTTAAACACGTTTGTCAATGTCCTATCGAAACTGTGATACTATATTCACTGAGTCTTAAGAAACAAATAAGAACTTAAATTTATCTACTCCACCAATTAAGAAAATATTCTAGAGTAATGAGATAACATTTCCATAAACACTCAATAGAAGTAACTTTTAGTATGTGTTTATAACTTATTATTATAGAACTCCATAAACAAAAAATATATCCTTATGCAATTCAGAACATAAATCCTTTTTAAAGTTCTAATCACAGAATTCAATCGGAAATATTAATAACTTAGCATAAAATTTATTTAAAACAAATACTAGCAATTAAGTATAAGAGTATGTATCATATATCACTTATAATCACAATATGATAAAGAATTATATTTTAAATTCAAATATCATATTCAAAATATAAACTTAATAAAATTTATTTTATTAATTAAATTTTATTATAGGATTGAAGAAACTAAACCTTGTAATTGTAAGAAGAGTAAGTGCCTTAAATTATATTGTGATTGTTTTGCAGCTGGTAAATTATGTTCATCAAAATGTAATTGTTGTGGTTGTTTTAATAATACTTCAAATTTAGTAGAGAGAAATCAATTTATGGAAAAAATGGTAGAAAGGAATCCAGAAGCATTCAATTAAAAAGTTAAGGAAGTAGATTAAAAATTGGCACATTCTAAAGTATTATATACTTTATATTAATCTTAGGGATGTAATTGCAGAAAGAGTGGTTGCAAAAAGAAGTATTGTGAATGTTATTAAATGGGTATTGAATGTTCTGATCATTGTAAATGTGATGGATGCAAAAATTGTTCATCAAATAAATTAGTGAAAATCTTCACTTCATAAGACATTTCATAAATTTCTAGATAACTTAAATAGTTAAGTCAACCATTTTGAAACAATATTAATAAAAACTATAATTATATCTTAAGTATTTTTATTAGAATAGAATTATCATAAGTGATAATAACTTTTCTAAATTAAATTGATAATAATAAATAGATTATTTAATCAAATATTTAATGGAATAAGTTATTTAAGTCACTACATCCAATTATTCTGAAAAGGTCAATAAGGAAGGAAAGGCAGCCTTAATATTTGTGGGAGATGTTCTAGCTGAAACTGGTTAATCATGGTGCTCAGATACTGTTGAAGCAGAACCTACTATCAAGAATTATGCAATTCCACAATTGTTGTAGAAAGGATATACAGTATATTGGTGTTGGGCAGGTGATAAGGAAACGTAATATAATATTAATTTTATTAGATGGAAAGATCCAAACAACCCAGCTAGAGTCTCTGAATGGATTTAGATAAAATCAATTCCAACTTTATTATTAGTCCATGAAAATAAAGAAGCGATAAGATTTGAAGAAGAATAATTATTCAATGAAAATGCATTGAAATAATTTTTAGAATAATGAAATATAAACAAAAATATTTCATATATCAGATTAATGCTTATTTCATTATCATAAATTTCTGGTTTTCAAAATAATTAATTGGATTTAATATATATATAATAATAATATGTAAATCGAATTAAATTATCATCATTAAATTAAATGAATATCAAAGCTATTGGAATTTTTTAAAACTATTTATATGTTTATATTTATTTATTAAATAAAGTATTGAAGTTAAAAATCAATCTTCAGATGATATTCTAAATATCATAAATAAATTAAAAAAATACTAAGATCATTCAATATCAAATATTTCCTCTTCACTTCCTTTTACTTGGTTTTGAATCGGATATGATAGAACACTAAAACTATTATGTTTAATGGAATTTTTCTTCTTGGTTTAAATTCCAGTCATCACATTTTGTCTCTCTTTTTCTACATACATACACCATAAGGGAGTGCCTTCATTACTTATTTCTTAGCTTTCACTCCAATCATAATTGTTCACTTATGAAGTATTAAGAGATGGAATATAATATGGATTTATTATTGAAGAGGAATTACCAACATTAGGAGTTGAAGGTGGTTACAAAAATTTAGCTGATTTAACTATTAATTGTACTTCATCATAAACTTATTCATATTATTGTTATTGGATTTGTTTCTAAATAATATAAACATAAAATACATCTGGTTCAAGAACATTCACAATCACAGGTTTTTTAGTCCTCCCAGAGTTTTGCTTCTTAGAACTATTCATTTTATAATACTTTTTCTGATTCTATTGCAAAATCTATTCAAACCTTTCAAATTATTTATTATCAACACCTTTAGTTGAAATTTACAAATTCAATTTCTTATCTATATCACCTTCAACAATTTGATCTTAACCATAAGTGATAGTATTTTTATTTGATCCATTACTATTTCCATTATTATTATGTAAATTATTTGGATTATTATTCTATTTCAATTATTCCTTTTACTTAAATAATAATTAATACTGGAATAATGTGGATTGTGTTGCTCTTCTTTTTTGTTGAATTATCTCCTACTACTTCCCAATCATAATAGGGTTGACCTTAATGTTCTTCTAATTCATTTTGAAATAATTTCTTATAAGCAATATAATCAGGAGTTGTAATAAAATCTAATTTACGAACAGCAGTTAGAAATTTAGTAAAACATATTGGTAGATTTTTACATACAATTTCTGGAGCTGTTAATTTTTTTAAATGTAATATTTTAGCATATTTGAGATCTTTCTATTCAATTTATAAATTCATCCAAGGTAGTGTTCCAGTTGCTAAATAAACCAAGATATAAGCTATGCTTTCTAGATCATCTCTACGACTCTATTCAAATTCATTATGAGCATTAATGCTAGCATATCTGGCTGTTCCAATTAATCCTTTTTTACGTACTTATTTTATATGTTCACCTTTTGAATTTAAATAAAACTTAGACAATCCAAAATCTATGAGATGAACTATATTTTATTATTATCCAAATCCTAAAACAAAATTATCTGGTTTAATATCTCTATGAATGAGTCGCATTGAATGCAATGTTTCGATTCGGCTAAGCATCTAAACTAAACAGTACAATACTCATATACCTGAATTGCTAATCTCAACATAGTTAAAATAGAGAAGGACCCTCCACATTTCTTGCTAGTAATTTCAAGATTAGGTCCAAGCATATTCATAATGTAATAAACAAAATGATTCTCTTATCCATAGTATNTTATGAAGTATTAAGAGATGGAATATAATATGGATTTATTATTGAAGAGGAATTACCAACATTAGGAGTTGAAGGTGGTTACAAAAATTTAGCTGATTTAACTATTAATTGTACTTCATCATAAACTTATTCATATTATTGTTATTGGATTTGTTTCTAAATAATATAAACATAAAATACATCTGGTTCAAGAACATTCACAATCACAGGTTTTTTAGTCCTCCCAGAGTTTTGCTTCTTAGAACTATTCATTTTATAATACTTTTTCTGATTCTATTGCAAAATCTATTCAAACCTTTCAAATTATTTATTATCAACACCTTTAGTTGAAATTTACAAATTCAATTTCTTATCTATATCACCTTCAACAATTTGATCTTAACCATAAGTGATAGTATTTTTATTTGATCCATTACTATTTCCATTATTATTATGTAAATTATTTGGATTATTATTCTATTTCAATTATTCCTTTTACTTAAATAATAATTAATACTGGAATAATGTGGATTGTGTTGCTCTTCTTTTTTGTTGAATTATCTCCTACTACTTCCCAATCATAATAGGGTTGACCTTAATGTTCTTCTAATTCATTTTGAAATAATTTCTTATAAGCAATATAATCAGGAGTTGTAATAAAATCTAATTTACGAACAGCAGTTAGAAATTTAGTAAAACATATTGGTAGATTTTTACATACAATTTCTGGAGCTGTTAATTTTTTTAAATGTAATATTTTAGCATATTTGAGATCTTTCTATTCAATTTATAAATTCATCCAAGGTAGTGTTCCAGTTGCTAAATAAACCAAGATATAAGCTATGCTTTCTAGATCATCTCTACGACTCTATTCAAATTCATTATGAGCATTAATGCTAGCATATCTGGCTGTTCCAATTAATCCTTTTTTACGTACTTATTTTATATGTTCACCTTTTGAATTTAAATAAAACTTAGACAATCCAAAATCTATGAGATGAACTATATTTTATTATTATCCAAATCCTAAAACAAAATTATCTGGTTTAATATCTCTATGAATGAGTCGCATTGAATGCAATGTTTCGATTCGGCTAAGCATCTAAACTAAACAGTACAATACTCATATACCTGAATTGCTAATCTCAACATAGTTAAAATAGAGAAGGACCCTCCACATTTCTTGCTAGTAATTTCAAGATTAGGTCCAAGCATATTCATAATGTAATAAACAAAATGATTCTCTTATCCATAGTATAATATCTATGGGAACCCAGGCTTTTTTCTAAACAGAATAGAGTGCTTAAGTGTTATACTTTAATTCCATCATGATTTTGATTTCTCTTTCTAACATACTTTCCTCCTCTTCCAATTCTTATTCCACTTTTATTGCCAAGACTTCATTGTTATTTTTAGTATCATAAATCCTAAAGACAGAACCAAATGAACCTTCACCAAGAAGATCCCCTATACGAAATCGACCTTAGATTAAATCTCCAGTATTTAACATAGCTTCATCGCCTTCTGAATTTATTATTTATTTCATTTATTAATTATTTATATCAAACTATCATATTCTTTACACTTTTCATCATAAACACTCTCAATTTCATTGTTTTATAACACAATCTCTCTTAAATACTTAGTCAATTAATTCAATTGTGAAATATATTCTTGTTAACTATTTTCCATTGATTCTAAATTTTATAACATTTGCTAATAATTTCTAAGAGTTCATACTGTGAGTGTTCAGACTATCATCTGAAATGTTGTGTGATTATTCCATATTCTGTTACTTCACAGAAACAATATAATTCAATGATTATTTGGCTCTTTTTCTTATACTTGATTTATTAAAATATGTTATTAACTATTATTTTTTATCATTATCATAAAAATAAAATGATCAAATGATAAATAATTTTATTCAATAATCAAAAATTCATTTAAATTAAATGCAATTCTATCCTTATTATTAATTATTTTCAGAGGATTGATAATAGTATCAACATTTTGCAATTTGATTATATGAATTTGAATAATTATTGAGGGGTTATCTTTTGGTAATGATAAATCTCATCATCAACAATATTTAAATATAAAAATAATTATATAATGAAATAAAAAATTGTTTATAAAAATTGACAATTATTTAACGATAAGCAAAAAATTATGAAAGTTAATAAAAAGTTCTTAAAGATTTAAATATGTTTGATCCAATACAAGGATTTAAATTAATAAAAGGAAATGCAATTATTATCAATATCATCCAAAAAAATGATGATTTATGTGGTATTCTATAGTTTTGTTATAATGTTAATGCAATAATATACTAGGTTGAGTTAATTTACAAAAGATTTGTTATTTAATACCATTATATTATATTTAAGATTTATTTATAAATTTTTATTTAAATATTCTAATCCATAAAGCAACTACTTAAATTATTAGTTTAGATATTAATCTAATAAAAGGTTTTGTGTCTATTTGAGTATCTCTTTTTAAATATAATTAACATTAGATTATATAAATAAAGATAAAAGGAATGACTTTTTTTTTAATTGTCTAGAAATCTCCTTTTATGTTCAACTTTATTATTTGCTATCACAATTATAAATTATTGATTAATAATTGTAATTTTGATATAAAATTATTATAATAAAAATGAAATAATTTCTATCTTATGGAAAAATATATAAACAATTTATTTTGAAAATTAAGGATCCCAATTATTTTTTTTATCATTATTATTATATGGATTAAATAGTATATATTCCTGAAATAAGATATAAACAAATCAACGAGATAACAATAGATTCTTAAGAGACTATTTAATTAAAATATCAAGAACTTGAAGAATTGATTAAGGATATTTAAATCCATGATGAGGTGGAGTTTGAACATATTTTCACTCTAATTCGTCCAAATTGTTGTGGATGTGGTCCTTATTCATAAAAATCTGAATTTAATGTCTAAGGTCTCGGATAATTGGAATTTTATATTGATAAATATCATTGTTGCACTTTATGGTGTTTTCAATGTTTTTGGCAAAATTGTTATTGGTGTTTTTGTTGTTGTTTTTATGAGTGTCTGATAAAATTGATTTGGTGTATTTTAAGACCATTTGTAAAATGTTTAATTGCAATTGTGAAATGTATCTTATGCGTAATTCAAATTCATCGATTGCCAAATTAATTGTATGTTATGGAGAATTCTAATATTAAATTAGAATTTTGGTAAAGGGGATTAGGTACAATTAAAATTAAGAATTAAATTATTCTTAATTTTGTATAAACAGATCCAAATTTCTATGATAAATATTGCTCAGGTTTATATTCTTCTTATCCTTAACTGGTAATCACTTCTCCATTTGATTAAAATTATAAATTGATACTGAAACCAAATAAGAATGATTGCCCATAATCAATAAAGGGTTCAATGTCATTAATGGCTTTTTGCGATATGTTTACAACATCTAAGTATTATTATGTGGATGGACTTACATAAGGAAAATGTGAAATCATTAATTTTAGAACTGCACTTTAAGCTATAGCCAAAATTTCTGAAATGTAAGGATAATGTTGCAAGTTCTGTCCTTTGATTGATTATCCACGTTTCGCTATTTAATTTTAAAATGTCAGGTTAATTGATAAAATAGCAATTATCTTGGGTTTAATTCACATCAGTATGTTTAATCAATGGGGAGAGGGTAATGCTTCATATCTTAGACTCAAGTTTTCTAAAGAAATATGTGAAAATAGAAATAGAGTCAAATCAGTTACAATTATTAAATGATAATATTGTATCAATTTAACAATGTAATTATTATTATTATAATCATTATTATTAGTTACATTATTTCAATCTTATCTTCTATGTTGCTTAATATATTTATCAAGAACTAATTTAATGAAAATCTTCATTTTAAAAACATCATCTATATCATGTATATTAAAATCGTCAATTTATAACCTTTATATTTAGAATCCAAATAATTAAATTATTAATAAGGGATGTCATAAAATAATTTAATTGGTTAATAAGGGCCCTATAAATATAATAAGAGGCAAGTATTTAAATTTAAGGATGCTCTAAAACATTGAAAATTCCATAACATGAAAGTATATTGATATTCATAATATGCAGTCTTTAGTGAAGATATATAAAATATAATTATAAAGTTATTGTTATAATGTTTATTATAATCAGAATATTTAAGTGATAGTTAATTGGTTTAAGATAAAATTCATGTTTTATATGCCATAATAAATATTATTGAGGAATACATAGAAGTAATAGGCTAACTAAATTTTTAGTTAATTCTTAAAGATTCAAAGTATTTGGTAGTATCAATTTTATAACAAATTTTGAGATTGTATGTGAAATAAATCCAGCGTAGATTCTGAAATAGATTCTATCTAGAAGTGTGAATATAATTTAAGTTGTTTAATGATATTTTTATAGGATTATTAAAGAACGATGAATATTATTATAGTTTGGAAAGAATTAGATAAATAATTTTAAACATGATGACCATTATATATTTGATACTCATAAATATCTACCATTATATATCTCTTTTCATTTCTCAATTTTCTTTAATTTAAATAGATTCAATCATAATGGGAATCATATAAATCCTTGAAAATATTATCAGTTTAATTTAAAATAAACCATTGATAAATTAATATATCTTATGTATATCAATCAATCTAAATTATATTCGATAAGTTGATCTAACTTCAATCTTTGTGTGTTGAATTATCTTATATCCTCTTATTCAGCTGCTTCCATCAAATATGTAGCCAAGTATTTAAGTTCTTAATCATTTTAATCATTGTGCCATTCCAATATAGGAATTCCATTTTCTATTTAGAATCCAAAAGAGTGAGCCAGATTATCAACAATCACCATATCTTTCAATTGTTTATTCCCTACAATTCTAAGATCTTTAATAAAAAAGCCATTCTTTGTCTCCATACAATTACCTCTTGAGAGAATCCCCATGATCCATTATTTTTTTGGATCCAAATAATTCACTATTGTATTTGCATATGCAGATGATGAGGCTGTAAATACATAAATTGTATACAACTAATTCATTTATTGTAAAAACCATGTACAAAATGGTCTAATGTTGAAATGAATCTATAATCTTTTAATAATAATACTTTAGCCTCTTCTCCATAATCTCCAAATGCTGTTACAGTTACTTAAGGATTCTCTCTCAATGAACAACTGTGAATCAAAGTTTCATCTAAATCCAGTAAAAGAGTCTTAGGTTTGATAATTGGACATTCTTGTAATTAAACCATCTTTGATTTAATGAATTTCTCTGAAGGTCCTTTTAAGCACTTTTTTGCATAAATTAACCCTCTTTGTGTTAATTGTAAAAACTTATTAAATGAATTCTCTCCTATACTTGGACCATAAATAAGGTGTCTAAAAGGATGATTCCTCAACTTTCCTTCTTGATTTTGTTTATTCTTCATCTATTCTACATCTGAATTCACGTCCATACTCTATTAAGTATTTGAATGTCTATTCATTATCATCTCTCTTACTTCACTTTTGTTGACTTTCCCACCTCACCCTTAGCATATTTCTGCTGCATTTTACTCGCCTACTGTTCTACATCATATTAATCTTCACTATGCTACTAAACATGTTGAATTTATTGTTAAATAGTTGTTGGCTAATCATAATCATCATCAAAATTTGGATCATCATTATCACCTTCAATCTTTTTAGAATTAACCAAATTTCTAAATTTTGACACTTTCTAACCTAAAATAATGAACCTTATCTTTACTTGAAGGTCCTACCTTATTTTTCTTTGGAGTCTCTTTATCAGAATCATCTGTTTAATATCCAGTAGCGTTCTTGCTGAATTGAGACATCTTACTAGGAGGCTTGCTTTATTTCTTCAATTATTTCTCCTCTTCATCTTTCTTGTTGCTTTCTTCTTCAGAATAAAACTGTTTATCATTATTCAGGCTTTTTAAATGCCCTACTGAACTACTTGCCTTAAACTTATATATATTGTCCATTTATAATAATTAATATTATAACACATTTATAATTTACAATTTGTTATTATATATAATCAACATTTACTTAATCCTAAACAAACCATAAGTGATGTCCAACAATTACTTGTTTTCTTAATCTTTAAATTTGTTTAACCTAATTCTAAAGGGTATTCTTTTTATTGGATTATTAATGTTGTTTTTCTTTATTAATTATTAAATTTGTTATTATTATTATTATTATTATTATTATTATTATTATTATTATTATTATTATTATTATTAGTAATTATTTCTTCATCATAATTTTTAATCAAAACATTTAATGAGCTTGTTTAAACCTATTAAGCTTCTATCTTACTATTAAAAACATCTTCTTATTGTCTCTTTTCATTCATTATTCCATTCATCCACATATTCTTCTCCTCTTAAGTATCCACCTTGAATTCATAGATCTTACCCCCTTTCATTTTCAATATAAATTTATTCTGCTTATTCTATTTACCCTCAACCTCTAATATATCTTGCACATTCAACTTATTCTAGCATTTCCAGGATTTTTCATCTACATACCAATATATATATCCTTTTCTGATCCTAACATATCTATGATCCCACTTTTTTACTAATTTCTATTGCTTGGCCTTTTTCTTATACACATATCCTTCTGAAATACTCATATTATCTAATTAAACAGATTAAGCCTAAGATTTAGAAATCAATTCCTCGATGTTGACTTTGCTCTTACTCATACTCGTTTTTGATGTGCGACTTGAATTCGAATCCTATTTCTATAAAACTAAAGGCTCAAATTAATTTTATCCAAACTCCATTAATTGACTTTTAAGATCTTGTGTTGACTCACCATTTTCTTATTCATCATCAATGTTCTTAATTAATTAATCAAATAGTTCTAAGCTATTCTAGTTAATTTCTGATTTCCTTGTCCTCAAATGTCCAATAATCACTTTTACTGTATTTACAGTAAAGCATCTCCCAAATTAATATTTCAACCCTCTAAAAGCTTGAACATATTCTGAATCCTTCTCACAATTTAAAAGTTGTATCATTAAATCAAAAGTCTCAAGCTTAGAATTAGAACCATGATAATTTTTAAGAAATTCACTTACAACCTATTTATCTTATTTAATCTTTGACTCTATTTACTTTCGCTTATAACTATTAACCTTATCTAATTCATTCAAAAATATATTGAAATAATGATAAGTCAATGTTTAAATCAACTTGTCTACAAGAGTCTACTATGTTTATTCAGTTAATTTAATAAGTTACACATTTCCTTCAAATAATTCAAGAATTCTTGACCTGATTTCTATTTCAAAAAAAGATACTTAAAATGATTACGTTAACTCATTTAATGTTAAATTATAAATCTATTGCTCAACGAATTCTAAAACTTCATTATATTTCTATAAAATTTTTTATTTAATCTTCTCTTATATCTTATTCTCTTCTAACATCTCAGCTATTGACTCTATTCTATTAGCTATTTCCTTAACAATCTCTACATCATTACAAACACCAATCAAAAACTCCTAATTTTCAGTTTGTTCCTCAACAGAGTCATATAATTACTCTAAATAATACCATAATACACTCTTAATAATTTTAAATAAATCATTATTCTTAAGGTATGATTTTAACTTTAAGTTAATTAACCTTTCTATTTCTTACACTATATCAAATAATTCAAAAACGCAAGTAGTTTTTATTGTGTTTTTTGCTTGAATTGTTTAGCACTGTTCAAATTATGTAACTATCTTCTTTTCTGATTATGTTTTCCATCTACTTATACATATTTATAATAATGTATTGATTCCCTATTGAATACGATCATCCTTAATATACTTAATTATGAGTTATTGATAATCAAAAAGCCAAGTAACTAGTTCCTTTAGCTCATTAATACTAAGATATTTGTTATTAATATTCCAATATTCACTTATATTTTAACAGACTTTCTCATGATGAATCTCAATATATTCTTGAATTATATCTTATCTTTATGGATCTTTTACTAAACAGCCTTCAATTGATTTTATCATATCTTAACTTATTAACTTTAAATAACAAAGCAAATCCTAAAGATTTAAGTATCTATTCTAATCATTTATACTTTACTCCAACTCAATCCTTTCTATATCATTTTATAGTTTTTCTTTGATTTTTTGTCTTCTAATTGGCAAGCTTGATTCCATATCATATATTCTTATGATTGGATTGATATTCTTTAAAATATTAAGATTCAATTTATTATTAATCTCCTTACAAGTATTCATCGATTCATTTAATGCATGTTACCATCTCATTCTATCATTTTCACTATTCGCCATTAAACTATAAATTTAATCTCCCATATTCAATTTAAATATAAATCCATGATCAGAAGACTTTTACATATTTTTTATAATTATTTCCTTACAATTTTAAAGCTTTATATAAGCCTTTCTTTTAATCAATTTTTCATTCACTTTTTAATTAATGTAAACAAGTGTATCTAATTCAAGATTGATATCTTATTATTATAATATCTCCTCATCTTCTTAAATATCTGGAAACTTATATTATTTAAATGTATATCATACAAGCGGTTTAGAAGATATAAGTATGAACCATTTTTGCTTGTAGATCTTCATCTTTGTTTTACTTCTTTTACTCAAAGACCCAAATATAGTTCTAGATTTCAACTTTGAATTCTAATTTAGTTACTATAATCCTAGAAACTCCAAAATCTAACTATCTTCAAACTAAGAAGATAGAATGATTGATTTTTTTTGGATCTCCTTCTGACCTTGAAATCTTTAATTTTCAATTTTTTCCTTCTCTATTTAAACAATTTGAGTTGTTTATAAGTCCACTTTCTTATGAGTAGAACCTAAGATAATAAACTAAATAAATCACCTTTTGATTTTGAAAGATCATTGTCATTCAAATCAACACTCAAATACTTTCTCTGTGAGTTCTTCCAAATACTTTTACAAAACTCTATTGTTTCTACCCATTTCTGTCTTTCATCTTCACTTTTTGCTTTCAATTCTAAATTTCTACCTGGAAATCTAATAGTAAACTCTTCCTCTCCTGCTTATTCTATAAAAATATTATTTGATAATTCAAAAGCTCCTTTTGGCTTCGAATTAGTTTTCTAATAATGAATAAAAATGAACTCTTACATCATCATCAAAATAAACTAACTTATATCCTTCATTTTCTATCAACATAAAAAATCTAAATATTTTTATTCTTTTTACCTTTTCTACCATCCTTTTAAAATTGCTGGGCTTTTCTTTTTTAACCACCCTTGAAGTTTCAAGTTCTTATATTTTTCATTCAAATATACCTTGTTATTAAAAGATTCGGGTTGCGATAGCCTAAATTTAGTTCCATCGAATTGACTTTCTGACATAAATTAAGATTATTAATCAATTTAGAAATATTTTATAAGTGTATATTTATTAAAATATTTGATGATCATCTAATTTGATATTAATTTTATAATTACAAAACAATAAATTAATAATCATCTCCATGTCTATGTCTATTCTCAATCTCTTTTATAGTCATTTATCAAAAAATATTCAAACAACTACTGATTATCTAAGAAACATATTGAGATTCAGGATTGATATTCATAAACTTATCATATAATATATTTATTTATTTATTAAATATATTTAATAATCTTAATAAAATTTGTTTAATTCTCAGAATGTGTTTTCAAATAAAGATTTAATTGACTTAATTATTTTTTCCCCTATTGAATCTATTTTTACCAAAATTAAAAATATAATAAACAAAAAAACTAAAATAGGTGATTTTATGAATGTAAAATAATAGAAATGTTATAATTTTAATAATATATTTTATATAAATACTGATATTAATTTTATATTCGTTTAATAATATAAATTTAACTTAAGATAACATAGTTTTAGAACATTATTATTATATTTACAGTATTTAATATTTTGTATATCAGTCACATTGTAATAATAAATTTATAACTCTATCAACTTGTAAGTTAATTTTTAGAATTCAAATTAATATCAATATAAAGTAAAATATATTAGATATAATAAAAAAATATTTATAAAAAATTATACAATTAATATATGAATNGGAAATCTAATAGTAAACTCTTCCTCTCCTGCTTATTCTATAAAAATATTATTTGATAATTCAAAAGCTCCTTTTGGCTTCGAATTAGTTTTCTAATAATGAATAAAAATGAACTCTTACATCATCATCAAAATAAACTAACTTATATCCTTCATTTTCTATCAACATAAAAAATCTAAATATTTTTATTCTTTTTACCTTTTCTACCATCCTTTTAAAATTGCTGGGCTTTTCTTTTTTAACCACCCTTGAAGTTTCAAGTTCTTATATTTTTCATTCAAATATACCTTGTTATTAAAAGATTCGGGTTGCGATAGCCTAAATTTAGTTCCATCGAATTGACTTTCTGACATAAATTAAGATTATTAATCAATTTAGAAATATTTTATAAGTGTATATTTATTAAAATATTTGATGATCATCTAATTTGATATTAATTTTATAATTACAAAACAATAAATTAATAATCATCTCCATGTCTATGTCTATTCTCAATCTCTTTTATAGTCATTTATCAAAAAATATTCAAACAACTACTGATTATCTAAGAAACATATTGAGATTCAGGATTGATATTCATAAACTTATCATATAATATATTTATTATCATAATAATACTAATCTATATATTTTATTTATAAAATTTAAAATATATATGAATTATAAATTATTATATATATAAATGAATGATAGTCAAATCATTATGAAAATGCTATTTTATTTAATACGTGTTGAAATTAAATTCAAATTATACATGATGAACAATAATTATTTTAATTAAAAATATGAAATCAAATGTTACAATATAAAATTTAGCTACGATATTAAAAATATTATCTTACTTATATATTTTAATTTATGATCTGATTGTATTTTTTATAAGTTATTATCAAAATAATATTATTCAATCAAAATCTGATATAAACAATCAAAGTAAAAATCTCTTTAAGTGATTCCAGCGTAGAACAGCCAACTTAATTAGTCCTCAATATGAATAACTCTTGTAGTTGCTAAACTTAAATAACTTACAAGAAAGTAGATTATTACTATTTTGTTTTTATCAAATTTTTATATATTACTAATGATAAAGATGAATAAACTTCAAATTAATGCTTACTATATTTTTAATTTAATAACAAATCTAAAGAACTGAAATGAATATCTAAATGTTTATTAGAAAGTTTAACAATTTTATTAAAAACCTCATCAAAAAATAATGAGCGACCAATAAAGTTGAATAATATTTAAATTACAAATTTAAATTATTATCATATAATACTTTACAAAAAATATATTACAAACTTATATTATTTTGAGAATTAATCATTGGATATTTTGATTTTTAATTATAATTTTATGTAAAAAAATTTAGATGATATTTAATAGAATTATTCATCAATTATCATGTGAAAGTATAAATTAAAAATTAATATAAATTTGGCAATTTATTTTGTTATTATGGATAATTTAAATTCTACTAAAATAAATTTTTAACTCTTTAAGTAATTAAATAGATTTATAAATTTTAAATATCAATATATAAATATTAGTATAACAATATAATAAATATTGTTATTAACTCAATAAATAAAATTAAATTTTTTTGATATTTACCTATTTATTGTTAACAAATTTATAAATTAACTTAAGTTTGAAGCAGATTTGAAAAATGTTTTATTTTTTTCCATTTAGTAAATGAGAGAAAAAATTCATTTTCTCAGATTTTTTCTATTAATATATCAATTATATAAACATATCAGGATTTGTATAAACTACTAAAAGAAAATTATACAGGATAGATAGTTTGTTTTGATTTTCCGCTTATAGAAATTTGATTGAAATCAATAAGAACTTTTTCATCTTTATAGATGAGCCTCTAAAAGTCGAAAGTAGAGTTATTGTTTATAACGTAATCTGAAATAACGATTTCTTGAAAGGTTTTGAAGCCTTATATTAATAAGTTAAAACTAATTTCAAAGTTTAGCATGATATATAATGAATAAAGTAAATCAATTTTGATTTTTAAATAAATAATTATTTGCCTTATTAATTTAGATGAAAATAAAAATGTGTGTTAATTAATTTTTTAATAAAAATGAATAGTCTAAACGATTATGAAATTTTAGAGAAATTAGGATCTGGTTCTTATGGAGATGTAATGCTTGCAAAATGCAAAGCAAATGGATAATTAGTAGCAATAAAATTAATGGAGAAGAGATTGTTGATAAAGGTTTATTATGCAACCATAAGCTAGGAAAAAAAACAATATCAAGTTTTTATAGAAAAGGAAGTGTTATCAAGGGTTAAACATCCTGGTTTAATAAATATGATAAGTAGTTTCCAAAGTTCAGCATAAATTTATTTAGTATTAGAGTTTATGGAAGGAGGAGATTTTGCAAATTTCCTAAAGATTAATAGTAATAGAAAATAGTGATTCTAGGAAATATGTCTTATAATACAGTTGTATTTTATACTGCGGAGATAGTGACAATATTAGAATAATTGCATTCTAACGGAATTGCACATAGAGATGTGAAAGTAATAAATTATTGATGATTTTTAAGCCAGAAAACATTATGGTGGCAAATAATTTACATATAAAAATGATAGATTTTGGAACAGCTAGCTTCTTTGATGAACATAATTTACCAGATAATGTAAGAGATAAATTGAATGAGTTAAGAGAAATTAGCAAATAAGATGAAAGATGTTTAGATGAAATAGAGTAATATCAATAGAAACATAAAGCTACATTTGTAGGAACAGCAGAATATGTATCACCTGAACTTTTGGAAGATGATATTTGTGGCCCATAAGCAGATTTATGGGCTTTGGGATGCATAATTTATAAAATGTTTACAGGGACAACTCCTTTTTGTGATTAAACAGAATATTTAGTGTTTTAGAAGGTTAGATCTTGTCATTACTCTAAAAATAATAAAATCCCTTAGGATGGGATGGATTTAATAAGTAAATTACTAGTTAGAGATCCTTTAAGCCGTTTAGGTGGAGGATTGCCCAGTAAAATTGATTTAATAATTTTAGATTCTCAAAATACATATAGAGAACTAAAAAGTCATCCATTCTTTAAGGATATAAATTGGTAGTAATTGTGGAATCAAAAAGGACCTGAGGATGTTTAAATTCATTTAAAAAAGCTAACGACTTAAGAATTCACACAAAAAAAGTAAAGTGCCACTTTAAAACCAGAAGTGGTAATTACTGGATTAGTTAATAAGAAAACAGGTTAGAGATTATTTATTATATATTTAGGGTGGATGATATATAAATTAAGAAATATGATATTGTACGATTTTGAAATTCCTAAATTAGAATATTTCGATCCTAATACTGGATTAAAAAAGGTATAAAGAATCTGTTATAGCTTAACGAAAGGGTTAGATCATTTTAGACAAATCTGTAACAATAGAATTATAAAAAGGATAATTTAATATTGATGTGCCTACTAAAAAAAAATATTATTTTAAAGTAAGAAATTTGTTTTTAGAAAATAAGGAATTTGAACACCCTGCTTAATTATGGGTTGACAAAATTAAGGATATTATGAAGAAAAGGCTGAATTGTGATTGATAATTTACATAGTTATGATTCATTCAAAGAAGTCTTTTGGAAATCTACTTCCTGCTCTTACTCTAATTTTTACAGGTATTTTCTCTTCTGATTCATTCCTTTCTAGTTGTTTATTTTTGAACTTGTTGTTAAGTTCTTAAGTTGAAAGTAACAATAATTCAAGAATATTTTCATTTTTGGGAGTATCCTTATCGTATTTGAGATTAGTTTATGCATCTTGGAGATGTGTTTTACCTGAAGAACTGAATGCTGCAGATTCATTATATTTTGGAGAATGAAAGAAAAGTTGATTTTTTTAAGTCCCTCCTTCATCCTTAAAGTGAGAGCATTTTTTATTATTTATTGAATTCTTTCTCATATATTACAGAATTTCTCTTGATTCATTTAATCTACTGGATATTGGAGGTTTACAGGATTGTTTTTACAATGCGTTATTCTGTGGTTGATAATTTACATTATTTGTTGCTATTTTGGACTGATTTTGTAGATTATGTTTCTGTTATTGCAGTTGAACTTTTAAGTTTTCTTTAGTGGTAATGTAGGTGTTAGAAGTGGAGGGTTATTTATTTAACCTTGGACTTTAATTGAACACATCAAAAACTCTAATCTTTTCATTTGATGAACATTATTTTTCACTACTTTAACGCTTTAATTATAGCTTTTTTTAGTTTTATGAAGCTGATCTAAATTTAAGGGTATCATCTCTTTATGTAATAAGAAGATCAAAGTCTTATTTTGGGGAACCACTTATAGCAGGAGAATTATCATTTTCTATATTGAATTTACTTAATTACTGAGTAAATATTGTTCAGAAGGCTTACTAGAAACGTTTGGCTCTGATGTTGGGTATTGTATATTTAAAGGACTATTTTCAATTGATCCTAGATTTAGTTAAGTTTTAGGAGTACCATAATCAATAGTTTTTTGAGTTAGATCTAAGTTTTTATGGAAATGTCTATACTTATTTTAGTTAATGTCTATTTTTACTAAATTTATTCATTAGATGAACAGGAAGAGAGATATTTTTTGAGCATTAATAATATATTTTAATATTACAGTAATAGTAACAATTTTGAACCTAGTAATTGATATAATAATTTATATAGAGATTGTTAGAGTTACATTGAGAAAGTATAATTCATATTTAACGTTGAAGTTTCTTCATGAAAGGCAATTAATAGTTTTTGATATCTTCATGTTATACGATAGTCTCTGAATCAACATTTTCCTAGAATAAAATATGGAGTTACAAATCCATATTCTGATTGGATTGTCTTCTTCGTAATTTCATCACCATGGAAATAAGGATGATGAAGTGCTGCTTCTGCAGATAATCTTTCTTTTGGATTTGTTTTTAAAAGATTATTCAATAAATTCAATGTGATTGAATCCAATTTCTATAATTTAGGATTATTTTTGTCTATATCTCCAATAAGTCTTAGATTATTTTAGATAATACAGCCAATTAAAAATGATTCCAACACTGTAGATATCAATTTATTCATCATATTTTATTTATCCTTCTTTGTAATGAGTGATTTCTGGTGCCATATAACCTTGAGTTCCACATATTGGATAGGAATATCTATTAAATAGAAGAGATTTATTACTTTTCTACATTACTATAAGTTGCCAATCCAAAATCTGCTATAGTAAGGGTTTCAACATTATTTGGTTCAAGAAGTAAGAGATTATCAGGTTTAAGATCTCTATGGATTATCTAAGTTAGATGTATTAAATACTTGATGAAAATGTAGAAGGGAAACACCTGAAAGAAGTCTTTTCATGATTGATTTAATAATATCTGGAGAGAAGTGCTTGGAGTCTGATTGTTTCTAATTTCAAATAATTTAACCTTATTACTTACTTTGTTTTTATTGTAGAAAGCTGTAAGTGACTTGCCTTTCATAAGATTCAAGATTAAGTAATATGATGTTTTGCTTTCAAATACTCTATATAAATGCACAAAATAATTTTGATGATTGTATTTAGTCAATTCTTATAAGATCTTTACCTCATTTTCAAATAATATCTACTATAAAATTCATTTGTACTTTTAATTTATCATTCTTTAAGAGGTATTATTTATTGATACTTTTGACAGCAAATTATTCTGATGAAAAAGTATCAATCACAATAGAAACACTAGATGAGCTACCTCTTCCTATTATTTCAATTGCCTAATAAAACATAGTAATATTCAGAAAAGTTACTTAATTACTTATTATATCCATAAAACTAATAATAGAAAGTAAACTTACATAGCTATATCCTAGGATCGACAATTCATTAGTTTAGTTGAGTCTTTATAATTAAACTAGAATCCACTGAAATTCTTATTATTTTTACTAACCTATCCTGTTATTTCTAAAACAGTCGACAATTTCAATGGCAGAATGTATTTTGGTGATTTAGATTTCTGAATATAAAATGATGTCTACAATTTCAGTCATTTCTATAGAATCTTGGTATAGTTATATGTTATAAAAAACTTCCTTCCAAAAATGCTTACGAATTCCAATGAAAGAGAATGCTGCAGTCCTCATTAAAGAATAAATAATAATAATAATAAATCATATTTATATTCAGTAATTAATTCAATATATATTTATTAATTATTTATTTTATAGATTCTTTTAATTTAAACACCTTTTTAATTAAATATTGGTAGGTATATAAGAAATATACATTCATCTTCTAAACATTCCTTATAAAGGTTTAGTTTGATAATACAGATCTAAATCATCATTATTTTTGGTAATAGTAAACAGACAATCATTTGAATAATAAAATATTATTGTGTGAATTATAAAAATAAATTATAAACATTTTTGATCATCTAAATGTAAAACTGATATAGAATTTTATTTCTATTATCCTAGATTTTCACTCAAAACTATAATATACTGAATAAATTGTAAATTAATAAATTATTCCTAGATTGTCTATTAAGTATTATATAAATGCTTAAATATTGTTTATTCTAACTTGTTTAGTAATAAAGATCTAATTATCATTCTTTTTAATCCTTTTGTTATTATTTTTGTCAATGTATTAAAATAAATATGGATTAAAAGTAATGATATTAATTCATTATAGTTAAATTATTATTAATGTTAAATAACTGGCCTATTTTTGATGTATAAGTTATTTATAATCATCCTATACCTTATGTATTGACATAGTTTGAATAATTATTTGAGAAGTTATAACTTATTGATATTAAATGCTAGTATTTCCAAATATTCTTTAATTACTAAGATATCAATTAGAAATTGAAGACATTATAAAAGTATTTAATATTATTAATTAAATAATAATGTCTTTAAATAACATTTTTAAGCAAAAGTAAATTGAAAGAATAAAGGAATAATAATTAAATAGGTATAAATTAATTATAATCGTAGAGAATAAAGGGAGAAGAAATTGGAAGAAATAAGAAAAATTAAGTCAGTTTAATTCAAAGCCAGATAAGCAAATCGAGTAGAAATGTTTGAAGAGAATAAACTAAGCAAACTAAGAGAAACCTTAAAAGAGGGCAGCTACCCAATATTACCAATCACAAAGCATTCATTCAGAGATCGTTATAAGGAAAAGGAGTTAGATGGTAATATATTATTAAGAAGGTAAATGCACATAGTATAATAGTCAATTATCAGGGAAGGAGAGAGCTAGACAAACAATGTTAGACTTTAATTAAGGACATTTGGCAACAGGAGAATTTAATAAAGATTAACCACATAAGAACCATTATAAATGGTTGAAAGTGGATGATCAATCTAAATAAGGAAATCCTATGAGATTTGGTAAAGGAGAAAGAGTAGAGACTGAAAGAGTGAGAGGTGTGATTTAGAATACAACATAGAAAGTTGATTATGTGGTAATATGTTTCATATACAGAAAAAAGACTTGATGATGTTGACAAATCCTACATGGAAATAAGATGATAAATCTAAATGGATGGATAACAATACTTTTAATATTTATAATAAGAAAAGATTTGATCCATCATCTTGGGAGTAACTTCCAATAAATTACAAAAATTAAAGTAATGTATTTGTTGAAGGATTCGAAGTTTTGGGTGATCCTTCAAGAAAGAGATACAAAGAATAAGAAGTACTTAATTTTATTAATTAAAAAAAGCATAAAAGAACAGAATATATACCAACAGTAAAAGAAGATTAAATTGGAACTACTCTACATATATCAAGATCTTTAAGAACTTTCAAAGCTGATTAATTAATTAATGAATAATCTAATTTTGATGAATACTCTTAGAATACAAAATTAAAATATTATAAATCTGCTTTAATTGAAACTAAAAGTATTGATCATTAAATACCCTATCAACATAGTAATAAGTATTATATAATTAAATTAATTATAGTTTTAAATCTCTTGATTTTAAGAATCTTCGACCTGAACTAAAAACTAAAATATTTCGCAATTCATTAACTACATCCACAAAAGCTTAAACTTAGAATTGTAATCAAACTCCATTAAAAACAACCTAAACTAAATTTGAAACTGAATAAGCTACAACTGCAGATTATATGCAATCCAAACTATCAAAAATATAAGAGGTTTCATAAAATTTAATTGCTTCTGATCAAAAGATTTCGATTAATCAAAAGACTTTAGAGAGTGAAAACTCAAAATCTAAGACTTAATTTAATAAATAGTAATCATTAGATAATCTAATTAAACTCAAGTATCCATATCATTAGGAAAATGATGAAACCACTAAGAAAATTTTACATGAATATTTTAGGTGGTAATGATTTATTTTATTTATCATTATTGTAATATAATAATAATAATGAGTAATATTAAAGTATTTTGTAGAATCAGACCATTAAATCAAAAAGAAACATCTTTAATCAATTATATTATTAGAGATTAAACATTACAAATAGGTGAGTAAAAGTTTACATTTGATAAGATTCTTGATAGTAATACTACTTAATAAGAAGTATATGATGAAATAGGAAAACCTATAATAGATTAAATTCTGTAAGGATTCAATGCTACATTATTAATGTATGGATAGACATCATCTGGTAAAACTTATACTATGATTGGGGATCAATAATAACCAGGAATTATTAAAAGAACTATTAATGATTTATTTGATGCAATAGACAGTTCTCCAACTGAATCTGAATTTCGTATTAAAATCTAAATTGTGGAAGTTTATAAAGAAAAAGTTAAAGATTTATTAGACATTAATAAATAAGATTTAAAAATAAGAGAGATGGCTAATCAAGGATTCTACATTCAATAAATTACATAATTATGGGTTTGTGATAAGGAAGAAATTTATAATGCATTACAAAAGAGTTTGGTCAATAGATAAGTTGGTTATACTAATCTTAATGATATGTCATCTAGATCTCATCTATTATTTTAAATGGTAAATCTTTTTAAAATTCTATTTTAGACAGTCATTATGAATAATGAAATTGAAGGAACATCATATACAGGATAATTAATAATGGCTGATCTTGCAGGTAGTGAAAATGCATCTAAAGCTGGAACAACTGGAAATGCATTATAAGAAGGAGCATTCATAAATAGGAGTCTATTAACACTTGTATATCTTAATATTTATATATTACCAGTCTAATGTAATAAATGGATTATCAGATAAATAATAACATGTACCTTTCAGAGAATCAAATCTAACTAAATTATTATGGAATGGACTTAGTAAAAACTCAATGACTTCTCTCATTATTACTTGTAGTCCATGTATTAGTAATGAAACTGAAACTCTTAGTACTCTTCGATTTGGAATCAGAGCTAAAATGATTAAAACATAACCAAAAGTAAATAAAGAAGTAACAATAAAAGAATTAGAAATCTAAAATAATAAATTGACTAAGGAACTTGAAGATAAAAATTACATTATCGATCAATTAAAAAAGGATGATAACAAAATTAAAATTATTAAATTTGAAGAATTAATTTTACATTTGCGTCAAGAAAATCAATTATTGAAAGAATAGAACTCATAATATATTACAGAATTAGATTTGAAATCCTTAGACTATTAAGAAATTTAAACTAATTTAAAAAATTCATTACTTGAATCTGATCGATTATAATAATCTAATTTATAGTATTAGAAATAAATTGAGTAATTTCAATTAAATAAAGACTTAGAAATTCATGAATTGAATACTTAAATTGAAATTCTTAAACAACAACTTTAATAAAAGGATGAAAGTATTCAATAATTATCTAAGCATTTAGCAAATATATAAAGAATTTAAACATAAAATTCATAATTATAATTACATGAACATTATGTTGAAAAAATACACACATAAAATATAGGAGATTTACTTAAAGAAATAGATGAACTTAAAAAAAAGACATTTGAAGAAAAGAGTGAAATTAAATATTAAAATAAGGTTAATGAAAGCTAAATCTTAGTATTTACAAAGTAAATAAAAAATTAGGAATCTGAAATATCTAATTTAAAAGAGGAAATCAAAAATTATTAATTATAACTTATGAAAAATAATGATGAATTACTCAATTTAATGAAATAAAATAATAAACTTTAAAAGGATTTAGAGAATAGAGTATTAAAAGTAATTGAATTATAAGAACAATATGATTATTTACTTGATTAACTTAATAAATTAAAAAATTAATTAAATTATGAAGAGATTGGAATTTATGAAGAGAATCAAAAATTACATTCATAAATGCAAGAAATTAATAAAAAATATTTATAAGAAGAATCCTTAAGAAGATCTAATTAATTAACATCAAGTTAAACTTTGTAAGCAAAACTCTCAAGAATTTAATAACTTGAATAGTAATTATATTTATTATATCTAAAGGGAAAATTATCAATTAAAATTAGATATTTAGAACTCATAAATTTTGAAATCACAGAACAATAATAATGAATCAGTCTTTATTTCATAATATTAATCTGTCAATAAAGGAAGTATGATTTCTAAAATAGTTAAAAAATAATAAAATTAGAATGATTTATAGTGAAATAATAAATTTTGTGGAATAAAGAGATTTTTTTTTAATTTCTAATATGATAGAAATTACAATATGCATTTATCTTCTAGAGAATCTTGAAATAAATGTAAAAATATCTAGTATTATATAATTGATATTAATTAATCTAATACTCATAAATGTGCAATAACTTCTTGCCAAGTTAATAGATTATCTACTCTCTCAATAAAAGTCTTTCTCTTTTTTATTTCGTTACTATTAATTTAATTTGATTTGAAATCAGCATTCAAAATCTTTTTAAATAAAATCTAATAAAATAAATTAATATTTATATTACAGTTTATGTGGTTTAACATTTTAGAATTTATGTTAATAAATATTCTGCAAATGGAACATTTTGAACAGATGCTTTAATTTTTTATTTTTCCATTGCTCTAGTATCCCATTCACTTTATGATACTGGTAAAAATACTCCATTTTCAATTGTTTCATCAACATTAAAAACAGAGAATTTAATACCACACATTCTTCTATTTGATCCAATAACTTAAATAGTAACTTATGCAATCTTACCATTATCAAAGGCTATAACTCTAAAATAGATAATTAAATAATAATACCTTCTATAAGATCCACAATCATAAATACTTTACACTATAGGATTCTTGTCAAATTGTTATTCATCCTATTCACATATTTTTTCAAAAATATTTAAATTGAATGAATATAAAATAGTCTATAAAATGGTTGCTCTTTCTTCAATCTATAATTTATCATAAGATACAGCAAATTCCCTTTAAATAGCTGAAAAGTTTATTTGAGTACTTCCTTTAGCTTTAAGTTTAGATTTATTTGGACCAAAAGATTCAAAACAATTAGCCAAATATATAGAAATTTATTATTAATCTAAATGTTCTTTGACAATTTATATTTAACTTTTAGTACCAGCATTCCATGTCTTACATCTAAAATATTTCATACCAAGTAAACTATTAGGAAAAGTAATTTATTGTAATTTTAATTATTATTCAAAAACTTAAACTATTTATTTGATGAATTTAAGAAATTCAACTGGTTATTTTAATACTAAATTTTCTTATCTATAAGATTAATTTTATTTTATGTCTGCCTAGACTGCTTTTACTTTATCTTTTGAAAAATGTCTTTCTACTAATGCTTCAGCTACATCATCATCTCCAAATTTAGGTGTTTTTTCTGTCAATTTCAATAGATTACTCTTACAATAATAATTATATTCATCTTTAATAGATTTAGCATCTACAAAAAATGTATCTATCGACGAATAATCCATTTCTAAATCTAATTTGAAACAATCATAACTTGCTGGATCAAATATAATAATTCTAAATTAATCAGTTTCTAAATGATGAACATATACTAAACAATTAAGATCTAAGAAATCTATTTTTAAATTTAATCCATTTAATAATCCATATGGTTTAGGCCACAATTAAATCTTATATTATTAAGTATTTTCATCATGTACAATTGCAGTATAAGGTAATATTAAAAATTTAAAGAATTAATGAGTTGTACTAATATTTGGTAGATTTGTTGGTAGAGTATCTTAAAAATCTACATATCCAAGAAGACTCTTTAAGAGATCAAATGATATTGATTCTGTACACAATATATTCTATTAATTATAAGCTTTGAGCATTAACACTTTTCCTTCATTTGTATCAGTTATTAAACCTTCAAGTTTGAAATTATGTACAATTGATACATCACTTTCCCAAGAATTATTTTCATTATTTGAATGTAATTTAGTATAAGATTTAGTAAAAGATGTATTTAAATCTAACATATCTAATAATTAAAGTAAATAAGCTTAATTCTATTTAATAATTCTAGGACTTGTATCATCCATTTCATTTTTAAATTCTTCTCCTGGAGAATGACTCATTTAACTTTAAGCTCTAACAAATAATCTATTTTTGTCATCTGGATTATTGGTTGGAATTTAAATATTCATTTATGTTTGAGTATTGGCTTTAGTTGAATAACTACTTTATTGTGTTTTTAAATATTATTATGCAGGATTAGGATTTGGTAATTATTATGGAGAAGCTTATTATTATTATAATTATAATTATTATAATTATTATTATTATTATTATAGTTATTATTATTAATATTATTATTATTATTATTGAACTAACTTTTCTAATTTTAATTATTTATCTTATAAATCTTAAATAAATGATCTTAATTCATTAACTTCACTTTATTTTTAATCTTTCTCTTTTTTATAAGTAGTATTTTCATTTTTTAATGATACTAAATTGGTTTCTAAAAGTTCTATTTTCTTTTTCAATTAATCATTTTATTAATTTTATTAATTAGTTTAATTTAGTTCATTCTTTTTTTATGCCATATTAGTATTATACAATTATTTTAATTCTTCCAATTCTTGTTATTAACGACCTAATTTATTTTATAGGATTTCAAATTCATTAGAATCTAAACCTGGTTTAACGGTAGTAGTAATATTAGTTTATTATTTAATTTAAGTAGATTGAAATCCTTATGTTTAAGATAACTAATATAAATTAATATTATATAAATACTTATTTTTATTAAGGAGTAGATACTTAATTTTGAGTTTAAGATTATACCATATTCTCTTATTTTAATTATTTAATTGAGAATTGTTTTTTTACTGGTAAACTCTTTTTTTCTACTTGACTTTATTCTGTAAAAATTGAATTAACTTTCTCTTTTTTTGTTGTTTATGGTACTAATCTATAAATAATGATTATAATATTACTTATCCATTAATTAATAAATGAGAGGACTAGATAATAAATTATTGCATTTAGAATCAATCTAAAAATTCTCATCATTATTTAAAGTATAATTCATTTTCAAATGATTTATCAAAAATTAATATGATATATTTTCTTATTAATTGAAATGAGGCATTGATTATCTATTAAATCCAGGACTAAATGATCTATTCATATTAGCAATTTAATCATAAACTTCAGAACCTAGATATTTTTATGATAATCTCATTGCATTATTAATAAATCTTCTTTTTAATTCATATATTGAATAATCTATAGATTTTCCTATAGTTTCAATTGCTTATTTTTAATAACCAAGTTTATTTGCTATATCCAATTATTCACTTAAGAGAACATAAGCAATCACAAGAGTTTTTAGATCACTAATATTTGGCATCTAACTATTCTTTATCTATGAAAACACAAACTATTCTAATCGTTCAAATAAGGCTACTGAACCTTTCAAAGCTCTTAATATATCAATCGAACTTACCAAAAATAAGATTCGCAATTATACTTAGTTGAATGAATTTGAAATCTATATATTTAATTAATTACTTTACCTCTTCTAAATCAACTTAAAATTCTTCCTCAAATGCTAAGAAATCTGGATTTAAAATCTACATTTCTGATAATATTTCAAGTATTCTGGTCAATTATCCTGCTTGTCCTTAGATTTATTCATAGTTTGATAGAAGCATATATTTAAGTACATCTTAATGAGTGTACATCTTAGAACTAACTGATGAGTCTAAAGAAAATAGAGAATCATAAAGTAAATGTAAAAACTACACAAGTTATGGACTTTGCATTTGATGAATTTTAAAGAAGAGTTAAACAATTTATTATTTATCTAATTGTTCACTAATTTAAGTTAATTGCTGTTCTGACTATAGAAATGAACTAACTAATTTTATCAATTTTGTTTGATTGTTGCAAGTAAATATTTCTTATAAGACAGTCTAATATAATAACCATTCATTACAATTGATTTAACAGTTCTATCACGTCTTGATATTGGATCATTGTCAGTTTCATATGACTTAAGTTTCTACCAATTTGATTTGACTGATGATTAATTTTCATATCTAAAAGCTCTCTAATTAAATTATTAATTAGATAAGCCAGAATCACTTGTCTTTTAAGACTAGGTATATTGAATTTATTTAGAAAACATCTTTTATATATATATATATTTAATTAATTTTAAGTGCAATTGTATATACATGAAATTTCAATAATTTATGAATCACATTAAGAAATAAGTATTTCCTATCCTTAATAAAATAAGTAATATTATTTGAATTCATTTATAATTAATTAATCATTCATTTTTAAAAATTCAAATTGACAAAATAAGATCTCCCATTTTCATTTGTCACTCCTATATTTACAATTATAATAATAATACCTATTTATTATCTCTAATTATAAATTGGACTAATGGATCTTTATTAATCTTTAGGTTTATTTGAGTTCATAAATTATTTGATATCCAATTTTATTTATATAGGTTCTTTCTATTAATTAGGTGGTACAGGTGGTTATTGAATAATTGTAGATTATTATTTAAATTATTGTTGAATAGATCTATTTTATGGTGATATACCTCTAATAGATCTTGATTCCACAATTTATTATTAGATTATTTATTAAGGTATTTCTTATATATGTTGTTTCTATTCAAATTAAGGTTTAAAGGAGAATTAATCCTTAAAATTTTAATGTTATTGATGAATATTATCATTATATTTTTCATCTTATTTTTTATTTTGACTTTTACTTTTAGGGAGTGATTATTATTCACTAAGCATCATTTAAATGTCTTAATTAACATATTCTTATTCATTTACTCTAGGAGTGAATTACTTTTCACTTTAGACAACTTTCATTTAATTATCATTAAGAGAATCTTGGAATGCAAATTATTTTATTTATTTTGTATTTTTTTATTATGCAGTTGAACCAGATGAAATAAGAGCAAATTTAGTATTATTTTAATCAAAAGGTTTAGTAATACTTTATCTTTTACTACTATCAGTTAATAATTTTTTAAATTATTCTGGTAATTTTTTTAAAGCTTATTATTATTATTATTATTATTATTATTATTATTATTATTATTATTATTATTATTATTACTACTTCATATTTTAACCTGATTCCAATTTTTTATAATGATTAGCTATATTTACTTATAATACTTCTGGAGATTTGGATTTACTTTAATTATATGGTTCTGGAGATAAACCTGATCCCTTAACTTATCTTATAGTTGGAGATGCAACTCGAGCATTTTTTAATTATTAAAAAAATTAAGGATCCTCACTTTTCTTAATTATAATTGTATTTGGTTTAACTTGTTTTGTTGTTTCTTCTTCTATCATATAATTATCTTAGAATAAAATCTTTTCTTTAGATTTATCTGTCCATTTATTCAATTAATGTTATTAATTACTTTAAGGTGTATCATTCAATATACTATTACTACTCATATTAGATAAATTAGGATTTAGATTCATGAATTAATCATTCATAAATTATGATTCTGCTTATATAAAAGGGATTTGGGATTATGTTTTGGATTAAGTCTTATTAATGATTGTACTCATTGGTTATGGACTAATTGATCTAGTGTTATTGATTTTATTATTAAAAATCTAATTAGATATCAATCCATCTGTTTTTTTCTATATTTATAATGATTTTATTACTTATTGAAATCCAATTTACTTATTAGATTATGTGTTGATAATTTGGAATTATTTCTACTCCTTTTGTTCGATCACTAAGCTTAAACTATTTGCATATCAATACCCAAAGGCTTTGCAAATTGGAGTATTTAATCATATCGAATTTGATTGATGATCTCCTTAAGTGACAAATTTGAAATGTAATCTGGGAGATTTTAATCTTATTCAATGGTTGCCATCATGTAGCTAGAGTATATGATGTAATATACTTTTCCAATCTTGCAGGTAATACTTAATCTAAAGTAATAGTTGAACTGCTTAAGGTTTAATGTAATGCTGATGTTAGAATCATCTATTAATATTCCAATTCATTCTAATACATTAGAATCAATCATATAAGATGTGTATTTAAGACATTGACCAATCTCGAGTAATTAAGCATTGTTTTCTTAACTCATATGAAAATTTGGACTTGCTAATTTCATGCAAACTATAATATTTTATAAAAATCGTTATTAAAATATTAATTATTTTACTATTCAAATTCAAAATGGAACCACAGTTCGAAATAAATCAATCTATCTAATTTCAATTATGTCATACCTAATCATGTTGGAATAATGGAGTTGTAAATACATCAAATCTATATATTTTAGATCACAACCATATTCACAAATACAACACCTATTCAATATGTAGTTCAAACATCAAATAACGAAAAGTAATCACATTCATTTATTTCAAGACTCTATATAAATGAACATTAAATCAAGGCAATCAATTCTGTTACAAAAACACATTAAGTCTCTTATAATATTGAATTCTAACGAATACTATCATAATTAATTATGCAAAAAAATGAAGATTAATTGATTGAAGAAGTAAATTATTCTTATTATATTTCTTAGTTGAAATCTCTACTTAAACGTATTACACCATAATAAGTTATGTAAGAATAGAATGGAGGCAAGATAATTTACACTACATATCAATTTCTAATCATGAGAAAACCTTCAATTATAAGAAATCATCCATTTGCTTCAACGAATCTAGTACTTAAATAATTAAAGAAACTAATTTATGCAATCAAATAAGAAGTACTTAAAAATGTATAAATTTAAATTTACAATTAGTCGAACTTAATTAAATTATAAACACATTCCAATTTAAATTCAGATTCATTTAAGCATAATAAACTTAAAAAATAATTACAAAAATAATCACGTAAAATGACTTAAATATATGATGATTCTGAAAAAGAAGAATAACCTACTGCCTTCTATGCCAATTTATGTATATATTAAATATTATATTACAAGTACCTAATAAATCAGCATTTCGACCATATAAATCTGATTCTATGAATAATCAAATTGAATAATTATCTATTTAAACTAAACCATCACCTAAAATCGATTAAATTAAAACAATCTATTTCAAACCCATTATTATATAAGGATTGCTATGTTGAGATTTTCTCGTCATGATTAATTAATTAAGTTGTTTCAATTATAAACTAAAAAGAGTTATATATAATTAATCATAAAATATATGTTTATTCTTAATAAATAGATAATAAATGAATAATTTCATATTCTTAATCATAATCATTTTTTAACAGAAACATTTCTTCTTGTTGAAAAGGATGTTGATGGTGCATGAATATAAGCATCTGTTTATTTTCTTTAATCAATAGGAACATAATCTCTTGTTTTATATCCTTAATAATTTTATCTTGGTCTAACAATTTTATTTTCAGGATCATCAAGGAATTCACACCAATGAGCTAACCATCCAGAAATTCTTGGAATAGCAAATAACAAAGGAAACATATCAGTAGGAAATCCAAGAGCCTATAAAATATAAATTTATGAATTACTTTATAAATAATTCCAGTATAAAAATCAACATTAGGATAGAGTGATCTATCTTTAAAATACTTATCATTTAAGGCAATATTTTCTAATTCTAATGCAATTTCAATTAAAGGATCTTTACCAACCAAATCAAAAACTTAGTAAGCTAATTATTTAACAATTTTTGCTCTTGGATCATATGATTTATAAACTCTATGTCCAAATCCAAAGAGTAGAGCTTTCTTATTTTTTACATTTTCTATAAATTATGGAATATTTTATTTAGATCCAATTTTTTCAAGCATTCTTAAAACTGCTTCATTGGCACCACCATGTTTAGGACCATAAAGTGCAGCAGCAGCTCCAGCAATAGCTGTATAGATATCTACACCACTTGATGTAAGATGTCTAACTGCAGAAGTTGAACAATTCAATTCATGTTCAGCATGTAAAATGAATAAAATGTCTAAAACTTTTGTAATAGTTGGATGTGGAGTATAATTAGATTCATTAAGTCTATCCATCATATATAAGAAATTATCAACATATCCTAATTATTAATGAGGTTGATTAGGTTGTCTTCCAATTCTATTTCTATATGCAAGTGCTGTTATGGTTGTAATAGATCCAATCATTCTATGAATTTATTTGTTCCTAGATTTTTAATCCTATTTTAAAGATTAAATAATACAGCATAGATATTTTATCCTGATAAAGCTGGATTGGCTTCTGGATGTAGAGTACTAACAGCTGAAAGTGAACTAATAACCATTCCCATAGGATGTGCATCATATCTAAATTGAGACAAGAGTCCATAAAGATCTTAATGGACAAATGTATGAGTTTAGATTCTGAAATTAAATAATAAATAATTGCATACTTTTTACACCATTTATCATATTGCAATGGAGTTGGTAATTCACCATAAATAAGTAAAAAGGCTACTTCTAAATAAGTACTTTTTTCAGCTAATTGTTCAATGGGATAACCTCGATATTCAAGTATGCCATTGTCTCCATCAATGAAACTAATTTTGGATGTCTTTTATGAATGCAAAATATACGCAATTAACAGTATTCATATAACCAGGATCATAAGAACGAATGATTGAACCATTTTCATCTTTTATCTTCTCAAGATCACTAGCCTTAATAAAATTATTAGAAATGGGAATCTCATATTTCTTTCCTGATCTTGAATCTTATATTGTCAATGTTGACTTGGTTGCATTAAATTGCTATCCCAGTTATTGAATTCTTATCATATTTAATGACTCTCTCACTATAAACACTTCTTCTTATTATTTAATCACTGACGCATTATTAATATAATTATCATCATATGCTCTCTATATAATGTTTTTTTATTTTTCAACATTAGAATGTTATATATATAATACTGTATAACTATTATTTTTATAATGTACTCCCAATTTATATTTAATTATTAACCGATTCATGAATATACGTAAACCTCCAAGAGAAGGTCTTCGTTCAATTGAAAACAAAGAAAACCTCCCTGAAAATTCATCCAAACCCCCTCCATCCAGATTAACCAACTATAGACTTAACAATCTTACTACCTACTTCAAAATTAGAACTCCTAGTAGAGGAAGAGAATTAGCTAAATTTGAAGACAACTTTAACATCAAAAATGAATAACGTTATCTAAGTACTAAAGAAAGTCAATAATGTAATACAATCACTAATAATACTAATCAACAATAATTAAGATTATCTTCAAAAATATAAAGAAAGAGAATCTAAGGCAATCTGAGTGCTAAGGATTCCACTAATCATTAAGACTCTCTATATAAATAAATACCATCTACTTGTGATGATAAAATATATTCAATTGGACCTATAATTGGAAAAGGTAGCTATGCTATAGTAAAAATGGGAACTGATCGTCATGGTAATAAAGTTGCTATCAAAATGTATGATAAATCATTACTTAAAGGAGAAAGATTTAATAATCTTATCAAAGAAATTAATACTCTCAGAATTCTATCTCATGATCAAATTACTAAACTATATGATGTCTATCATTATACTACCTATATCAATTTAGTTATGGAATATTGTGGAACTGAATCTCTATATCAATTACTCAAATCAACTTCAACAAGAACCATACCGAAAGAATAAGCACTTCATATTATTCATTAATTACTTAAAATATTACATTATATACATGATAGGAATGTTTGTCATAGAGATATTAAATTAGAAAATATACTTATACAAAATAAACGAATTAAACTAATAGATTTTGGTTTTAGTACATTTACTAATTAACCTATTACTTGTCATTGTGGTACACCTAGTTATATGGCGCCTGAAGTTGTCTCTAAATTGAAATATGATGGAAGAGCAGCAGATATATGGGCTACTGGTGTTCTATTAGTTGCTCTTTTATAAGGTAGTTTTCCTTTTAAAGGAGAGAATGAAAGAGAATTGTTTAAAAAAATAAGAAATAATGAATCAAATATAACAAATTAAGATCGTGATTTATAAAAATTATTATCACGTATTTTTGTGATTGATCCATATCAAAGAGCAACAGCAAAAGAAGTATTTTATAATGATCTATCGTTTAGCTATTGTAATTAGATATCTTTAAAAGTTGAATTCAATATTATTATATAAATCATTCTTAATAAATATATTTCTTTTTTATATCTATAATTAAAAAGATCTACTCTTACATATAGTTTAGATTAGAATACTTAACAAATAATGATCATTATTCTTAATGGTTCTAAGTTTAATTTCAAGAATATTTTTATAAGTATTATTATTATAATTTCATTAATTGTGATTTTTTAATTAATAATATTTAAGTATATAGATATATATAAGTATATCAAGAGTGATTCCTTACATTAATTTTTTTAAGAGATGGAAAATAAATATTAACAATTCTATTATCTTTTGGATTTGAAGTGTTTAGTTTAGGATACTTTGGAGATGCTATTTTAGTTTGTAAGTTCTTTTTTCTTTGTTTCTTAATTAAATTTAATAAAGGAATCTATTTTTAGCTGTATTTGTCACGATCACTTTAAATAGGTTCAATTTTATCACATCTAGTTTCTTAAGATTCTACTAATTAAACAGAGTCAGTAAAAATCAATTTATTTTTTGGTGGTTATACTTAAGAATCTATTCCATATAATCTGAAGCAATCTTTAAAGAATCTATTTCTGGGAGTAATTTGATTTGATGTAATCAATTTATCTTAAATATAGGAATGATTGAAATTGCTTTATGCACAATTAATATCTTAGAAATGTCTATCTAAAGATCTCATACTTTCATCTTTTCTATTTGATGGTTGTCTACTTATATGTTTTAATTTTGATTGTTAACCTGTTCGAAGTTCAAGTAAATATTGTTATTATTACATATACATGAATGAACTACGTTTACTCTTTGGAGGTGATAATTAACAATTAGGAATCAATAAGTTAAGAGTTTCTTAAAATTTTTATTTTATTTACTCTCTTATATGATAATTGTTATCCAATATTAAATTACGATATTTTCTCCATTTTTTAGATGGATTTGGAGTACTTGCCCTTATTGTATAATTTTGTAAATGTTCTTAAATATCTCTTCTCTTAAAATAAATAGGATTCTATATTCTGTGATTTTTGGGACGAGTTTCTTTCAAGCTTTTATTTACTGTTCTTACTGCATCATAATCTCTAAACCAAAAACCTTTTGGGAGAGATAAAGAAATAACTACTCTACCTAGAGAATCTATTTTTCTTGGTTTTATTTCATTGGCTAATTGAAAGAGTTTTCTTTTTGAAAAGTAATTTAAGGGAGCCTGAAAATTGAAAAATTAATGTCCTTGTATTGTGTTTAATTTATACATAATTTAAATTATTTCAATTATTAATCACTTACATTTATTTACTTTTCCTATTTGATAATAATTAAAATGATGATTAATATTTATAAGATAATTTGAAAATCTAATAATAGTAAATAAAAATATTTTAAGATATATAGATTTGAAATTAATCTATTTATTTATTTAAAAATACTAAAATAATAATATAAATAATACAAACTTATTTATAGTAATGAAATTGTAATAATATATTATTATTGATTTTATGTATTTACACATTTTCATTAACTTTATTCATTTCTAAATATCTAACTTATAGATTAATTGAAGTTAAGTTAAGTATTACATCTATATTTTAACATATAAGATGTATTAGATATACTTCTTTTATGAGTACTTGTAGTTTTAGTTTGACTTTATGTATTTTATATAAAGGATTCATGACTTTATATACTCTTTTTAATTGATTAAGTATCATATTAAAATGTACTCTAAGAAGACTTCTATCTCATCATAATTCTTTTCTGTATTGAATACGTTGCTGTAGAAAATCTAGATTTATTATCATTCACATTCTTATAGCATTTCAAACATAACTTAATCTTTTAACATGTGAATGCCACATTCTATTTTAGACCTTAATAGTGATTAAAATCTAAATTAGGATAAATAAATCTAAGTATTTTAGGAACTAAACAATCTTTATCCATTTCTATTATTGGAGGATCCTATTGATATTTTATTTCATGATGTCTATCCCAACTCTCTATTATCTCCTTTATAGATATCTAAATAATACTCAAATTTAATATATACTTCTTCAAACAAATTTATATTTTGAATTACTTTACAACCAACACATCTTTAATTTGTAAATTCAATTCTATTAGGCCCTTTAGGTAAAGGTACTTTAAGAGACAATTTCAAATTACTATTACTTCTACTTTAAGTTTTTGTTCTCACTTTAGAACAGAATAATAAATAAATTTATCCATCTATTCCTTATCTAAAATATAATTCCATTAAAGAAATATTAATCTTCTCAAAAGTCACATTACAAATATGCTGTTGAATTTCTTGGCAAGTAGATTCTAATGTTTTAGCCAATACATTTGAATTTAATCTATCAGAATTTAATATTATATATATATATACGTAGTACTGATTGTTGGACCACCATCAGTCTCAAAAGTTGTGATTCTTTAATTTGGATGTAATGAATTGTTTGTTATTTTGTTTATATTATAAATTTACTCGAAAATGCAACTATTTTTTTACCATGTACATTTTATTGTGCTATTACATTCTCTTCCAGGGCATACAAATCCTTATAAAACACCATCAGCTTAATAGTCTAGCTTCTCAATAAAATGACCAACTTCCATCTTATTCATATAATGAAATTTAAGTTTCTCATTTTCTTTAAATATCCATACTGCTTCTATTGTATTTGTACTTTCTGAATAGAATATTTATTTCAAGTAATCAGGATCTAATTTCTCCTTACTCTTTCTATATATTACACCTTGCTTACTGAAATACCAAAATTTCACATATCCTGCTTTTATCTACAGAGTATACGGTATATTTATCAATGGTGCTTTCTATTAATTACATAGATATACTTTTGAAATTGGATCTTTTAACCATAAGAAATGTAATAAATCATATACAAATCCATCTATTTCTGAAAATTTTAACTGCATTATACAAATAATAAATTATATATAAAATATTATTAGATTCTAATTATAATATGGATAATTTTTCATTTTCATTTTCTATTCTAATAGTATTTTATTGGTAAAAAAATTTAGAATATAAGATTTTAAAGTTATTATTATTTTTTAATTATAATTTAAACAACTTCCATAAGTGTTTTGGATCTACTTAATTTATTATAATTTAAAATTATCTTATTTTTATATTATAATAAATCTTTATTTAAGATAATATTATATAAAATATCATAATTAGTATATTTTAAATTAATCAAATTATTATTCAAATCATAAGTTTTTAATGAAAACATCTTATTTGGAATATAATTATATTAAGAATACTTAATTTACAAAAAAGAAAAATTAAGTTTAATTATTTTAATACAGGAGATTTAATGGATATTGAAAGAACTAATTAAACCAATTATGTTAATCATTTTAAAGACTTAATCTATTTAAATTGAATAAGAGACTAATCCTTTTTGAGTCTCTAATTAAAGAATGAATTGGAATTTTAATAATGTTTAAATCATTTCAAATATTTGACAAAGAAATCATAAAAATATAATAGCATTAAATCAAGTGAGCTTCAAAGTAAGAAAACATAAAAAAATCAATAGGAGTATTATCTTTATGAAATTTCATCTATGATATTATATATATGAATAGAAATTATGTCTTTATAAATGATTTTATTTATATATTGAATTACAAATAAAAAAATTAGCAGCATCAGGGATGGATAATGGATAAATAATTAACTTTTAAGATTTCGATGAGATTGAATGTGATAAAGAATATATTGCTTTTACTTTTAGCAATAACAATAAAAAGCTCAGGAATTATGAAAAAGCTTTAGAAAAATTCAAATCTCGCATTTAAGAAGGCCTTATCTATATCAATAATAATTTTGATTTTTTCAATCTTAATACATAATAAGATGGCATCCTTATTGATAATTAAAATAATAAGATTGAAGTGATTGATGAATGCATAATTGGAACATAGGTTGTGTTAAAAAAAGATAAAACATAAATATTGAATGATAGAAAAAGACATTCAATTAATATCGACCCTCATTCATATAAAATAGATTTTAAGTTAGAAGATAAGAATTTAGATAACAATAGCCATTTAAATAAGATTGATAAATTAATTAAAGAGAAAAAGAATAAGAAAAAGAAAAAAACTATACGTAAAAAATAGTGAAAAAGTTTAACAGTGTATTATAAATAAGTTTTTATTTTTTTAGACTTTATACTTATGAAATATTTGCAATTATTATAATATTATATTATATAAATAAATATTTCTATTTAAACTATTAAATAAATGTATCTATTCTATTTTTATTATCTTACATAATATAAACATCTTAATATCTTAGTTTATATAATATTCTTTGTTGTTTATTTCTATATTATCCTGGAGAACTAATAACAAAGTTAAATAGAAAAGATGAATAATTTTATTTTCATATTCTATATAAATGAATTAATTTGATTCATTAAGATGAAGTATAATTTGATTATGATATATATTTATTATTTATTCCATATTAATAATAAATTAGTAGATATATCAATTAAGTAAAAATTATAATTTCTTAAAATGGAGTTATTTAGATATTTAAAAAAATCAATTTATATTGAAGATATATTTCAATATATAAAAATAGTGAATAAGAATATCCTAATGAGTGGATTTAAATTAGAAAATATATTTAAAAAATAGAAGTGTATTATTTATAATGGGAAAATTTATTAAAAAAAAATTAGAAAAAATTACAAATTCAAAATTAATCTAAGTCTAATACTAATAGACTTGATGTGACATTTGGATCAATTTAGTTTTCAAGTAATTCATCTATACTTTCTGTTGGTTCTTCATAATGGATTAGAACCAATGTTTGAAATCCTCTGTATTAATGTCTTGAAGGTGTTTTAGTTGGAGGTTTATTACATCTATTACCTAAAAATATATAAAATTAATGTATAACATGTGTTTCTGAATGAGAAATTAAGATTCTTGCAAATTCCACATACCCAATCACCATTTCGCTGTTTCCTTTTTACTATGTAGGGAGAATTATTCATGTAAATATTTATTATTATTTAAATTCAAAATTTAATAACGATATATATATATGAATTAAGAATTTATTATTTATAATATGAGAGGAAGTATTAAATGAATCGAAATTTTATTGAAATAGGTACTGAATAATGTTAGACGTTTTGAATTGTCAATTCTATAAATAATATAAATAATGATTTAATAATAATCGTAAGGTTCAAGAGAAAATAATTGGGAATTGTAATAGGATGGCTAAGTGGGCGAGTCAGATACACTGATCAATATGTAAGTAGCTTACAATTGGTTAACTTAAGTATTTTATGGCATAATTAGGCTTTAATGATAGTAATTTTGTTTAATTCATTTCTTACTCTTTTTTTATCATCAATGACATTTGGATTGAGTTTTAGAGTTCCTCTATTGTTTTTAAGTGTAGTACACTTAATATACTTAATAAAAACATGTATAGTTCATCATAAAACGTAAATATATTAAGTAAAAAAATAAGAGCTAAAACTGATTTTGATTGTTGTTTTGAATTGACATGGAATATTGGTTTAATTTCATATTATGTAATCAATAGTAATAAAAATAGAGTTGTTTGATTTACTTTGTTGAATATCAGAGCTTTTAAATATAATACTTAGGAATGCTGTTATGTTTTTACAATGCAATTTGGATGTTTTATAGTGGAGTACAATTGCATAAGAGAAAATCTGAGAAATAATAGTATAAATTGGTATGTAAATGAGAATTAAAATATAGTTGAGTGTGTTTGCAAAGTTATGTTTTATAACATAGATAACATTTATAAATCTCAAGCTAATAGATTGGTTGTCAATACATTGGTTATATGCCTTTGTAATAATCTGGTTATTTTTATTGATAGCAATATTTTTGGAATTGATATCTCTATTTAATCTTTCTGCTTAATTGAGTAAATATTTTAGCAGTAGTAATGTGGAAGTAAAAGTGCAAATGGGAACTAAAATAATAGGTTTAGTATGGATTTCAATGTTTTTCTTTTGTTTTGCTGGAATACCAACCTATACAATGATTAATTTGTGTCTATATTTATAAAATGAGGATGGAGGAAAAAATTATTTACTGGCGATAATTGTAAGTGCATTTTACACAATTATTTATATGGTGTATACTATATATCATAAAGAACTGTTAACATTATTTATATTAAACTTACATTACTTTACTCGTTTAAATGAGGATAGGAATCAAGATAGATAGATTCTTAGTTTTCCAAGTTCTAGAAGTCAAAAAAAGTTTGTATATTCATTAAAAGAGAATTCACATAAAAATAATCATTAAGAATATCCAACATAAATGGTGAAAATATCAAGCACTTATTATTTACCTGATGAATTAGTCATGAAAAGACATTAAACTGAAGTCAATATTATTACTAGCAAATAAGCTACAATAACTGAAGTTGCTGTTCAAGAACCTACTATGAAATAATGTTTTAATTGTTTTCAAAGATAAAGTTGTGTAGTCTATATGCCTTGTGGTCATGGTGGTATGTGTTCTGAATGTGCTACTTAATGGTTTAATTAAAATAAAGAATGTCCTATTTGTAGAAGTGTAATTGATATTTATTTATATGAATTAGTTAATCAAAGCTATACTTCAAATTGTATAGATTGATGAATAAACAGTGAAAGTTATGGAAATAATTGCATAAAACTGAAAAAGAAAAAATATGATTTATTACTTATTAATTAAATTAATGAAACAGCCGATCTTAAATAAAGGATCTAAACCTGAAAAGAATCCAACTTCTTATAATAATGATGGATTTGGAAGAGATACTTATATTTCATATAATAATGGTGGCAATTTTGGAACTGAATTCAGATTCCTTACTATTCAATAAAATAGAACAGGAATGAATATGATGCCAACTCCTGCTTCTAGAGCATCAGAAGTACCTTAAAGAATATTCTATTAATGTGATGGAACTGGAAGAGATACTTATGTGTTGTATGAATGATTATCATATATATTTAGATTAAATGTGTAGGAGAAATACTCTCCTATGTAAAATTACAAGAGGATGCTACGAAGTTCTGATCAATTCTTTTCCAGTCCAAAATAAAGGTATGAATTACCACCACTTGCCAGAGAAAGGTTCAAGAAAACTTAATAATCTCAGAGGAGTCTCATAAGTCGATTATCATAACCAAAGCTGAAACAAAGTTGTTGAATTATAATTAATGGGTTAACAATTGATTGAATATTTCCCTCTAAATACTTTAATGCTTATTAATGGTTCATTCCCTATGCCTGTAATGATCACAAAGAAGCTATTCAATGCACATCATGAAAAGACTACTCCAACAATCTAGTTGAAAAAGAAAATAAGAAAATTTTATCATAAGAGACATTTTTTGTTTAAAAAATTTGATGAAGGCATAATATTAGATGAAGAATCATGGTATTCTGTTGTACCTGAAGAAGTTGCTTCATATATTGCTGAACGATTACATAAAAGAATTATAGATCAAAAACTTCCAATAAATAAAGTTATTGATGGATTCTGTGGATCAGGTGGTTTAGCAATTTAATTAGCTTCTAAATTTAATAATCTACTTTGTATAGATCTAGATCCTGTTAAATTAGAAAATTTAAAAACTAATGCATTAATTTATCAAAGGACAATTGAGACTCAATTAAATAATTTTTTATTGGTTGAATATGAATATGATGAAAACACAATTTTAACATTATGTCCACCATGGTATATATATATATATATATATTAATAGGGGTGGATTGAATTATCATAAAAAAGAGGTTTATGATCTAGAAACAGATATGAGTCCTTGTTTATCTGATATTTTAAAAAAAGCCTTTTCTATTAGTTGTAATATTGTACTTTAATTACCTAAAAATGTTTCAATCTCTTAATTAATTACTATAATTCAATAATAATCTTAATAATTAAATTTTAAACGATATTCTATTGAAATAGAAATGATTTATATTAATAATTAATTAAGTTAATTGTTTGTGTATTTTGGATAGATTGTTAAATGCAATTATGATGCTGAAATAGATTGCATTCTAAAATCACAAACAAATTTAGATAGAAAAACAATTAAAGAATAAGGTTTAATACAAACATTATAAAAATTAGAAATCAATGATTAAGTTAATTTATTAAAATAATGAAATAAAAAATTGATCGATCACGAATTCCCAACTCATCTTAAGACATCCTTATTGTTCCTGTTTATGCTGATAAATTAGGTTTCTCTTTACCTGCAAAATTACCTTATATGCCTGTATCTGAAGATTCTATTGCTGAAACTGTATTTTAAGCCAATCGCATTTGTTAAAAAATTAGATGTGAAAAAAGTAGAATTGAAGAAAGTGATCCATTAGAAACTGAAAAATTTTATGGTATCTCTTTATTTTCATATAATATATAGTTACTTCATCATGGGTATTATTTATTGTAGGAGTCATCTTATTTGTATTAGGATTCTCATATGAAGATTTAAAATCAACATTAACATTGTTAGGTACCATCTTTATTGTTTTACCTACACTTATATCCATTATTGTAGTTATTATTAGCATAACTAAATCACCTAAATTGATTGATCTTGAATAAGAATGTACTAAAAAATTAGGAGAATTCTTTGAAGTCTAAAATTAATAATATAGAAAAAAGGGATTATAATGGTCAATAGGAGATGAAATGTTATGGATTTAGTTGGAAAAAATATGACTTTTTTAAATTATTAATTTATATAATATATATATATATATATAATAAACAATGCAATAGATAAAAAGGAATATTCAATTAAATTAATAATATTCAGAGGCAGAAAGGTATGATCAGAACTTGAAATCAATCAGTAGAAATACATGGTGGCATGAATCAAAATCTAAATATGATAAAGTTAATGAATTGAAATTTATGAATAAAGTGTAACGTGCAATTTATTAATATCTATAGTTATTCTAAAGAAGTTGAAAATGCTTATTAAGAATTGAAAAAAAGAAGAAATTGTATGCTAAAAGATCTCTATGAAAAAGAAGCACGTGAATGGGAATAAGAACTAAGAGCCAAAGGATTAGCTATTTACAAAAACAAATTATGAATTATCAAAATATATATATATATAAATTCATATTTTATCATAAACTAATCCATTCTATTTTTAATATAAGATGAATAAATTCTTTAATAATTATTATACTCATCTACAACAATTAAATTTCTATTTAAAAGTCATATTAATTCTTGAATCCTTTAAATTAGATAAATTGTCTATTGTTATTATGAAATGATCTAATTTCTAGTTACATAGATTTTATTAAATAGAATTGATAATTTACATTAAAAATATTTAATTGAAACTTTTGATCAGAATAATATTTATTAATTCTCTATTTTAAAAAGAGATTTTAATGGATATTATATATCAGATAATTTATTAAAAAGTAGCTAAAAATTAATTTTTATTTAAATTTTAAAGAGTATTTATGAGCAAAAATATATATAAGTCTAGAACTTACTCAAAGGTATCTGAAGATTAGAAGAAAAAACTATTAAAATTGGTTTGTTTTTTTGGATTTAAAATAAAGGATGTATTTAATATAGTAATTTACAAATAGGCAGCCTAATAATTGAATATTAAATATGCAGCAGCCAAATCATATATGATTTTCCATAGAAATAATGTTATGATGTCTAAACATTCAATTAATTCATAATAAGTATGTTAGATTGCACCACTTTCATTAAAAAAGTGCAATCTTACTATTATATCGAAAATAGGTGGAGATGTAGTTTAATAACTTAAATTTGAATACCCTACCATCAAATAAGAATGATTATATTTCTATGTTAATTTATATACAATTTCAACTATTGTTTGTAATTTAATCATATATATGTATATATATGTTTGAATTTTGGTTGTACTAATACTTATACATAAAGTATATACTTAACTTGAGTAACAAAATCGAAACATATAAAATTTATATTCAATTTAAATCAATTCATAAAATTACTATGTTTGACTAGTATTATTATTTATGTTCTCTTCATACAAATAAATCATTCAATAACAAATAAAAGTATATTTCATTAAATGGCACAACTAAGAGAAATATCTGATTATAATCAGTAATATTTTTAATTATTATTATATTAATTCTTTCTAAACCTTAAGTAATATATATACAGTAACTTTCAAGTTTTAGAGCATATGACATAATGTTTTGAATTTAGTGAATAATAACAATTACTAAATATTCTCTTTCATTTTAAAAAATAGAAATATGAATTTTAATTAATAATGTTTATTATGTTACTATTATAAGTTTATAATTAGAAAACTTATATTTTTATTTTTATTTCACATTCATTATTTATATCTCATATACGAAATCTAAAATGTTTATATAGAAATATTAAGTTTAAATTGTAAAATAGATGATATTATCTCCTAAAATATCAAACTTTATAATTATTAATGAAAATTAATTATAAATAAATCAATATTTACTCCAATCTTCAGGGTAATTTACTAAAGCTAATTAAATAGTTTTAATTCATATAAAGACAATATATTATTATTATTGATCTATAATACGTTTTATTAATGGACTAATTAAATATAATCAAATTAACTAAATTATTGAAATAATCTAAAAGAAACAAAAGCAAATAAAGTTTTTGAATGAATTTATTATCATTAGGTCTTTTTTTTTGAGATTATTTTTTAAATTAAATAAGTCAATTTAAAAATAATCCTTAAATGGAAAAATCTATTATGAATTGTTTTTAGATTATTCAAATATTATGAATGGCAAAATTTTATATAATTTATTAATTAATTATATATAATTTATATAAAATCACTGAATTCAATGAAATATGATTATTATAAAAACTTATGTTGTATAATTAGATAATTATAAAATTGCCCTTATTTAATGAATTGTAAAAAATAAAGATGTATTTATATTGAAATTATTTGAAATAAAGGGTCTTGTCATATATAAATTGCTATAATAAATTATAGATAATAATATCTTAATTCAGATTTAATAATTAATGAAATAATATTTTATTGCTTCCAGACCATATTAAAAAGTATCATCATTTTAGAGAAAGTCTCTTTTGCATTTGGTATTTATTAAAGGTTTTAAAATAAAACATGTAAGATATTCATAATAAAATATTAAAGGCAGCCAAAAGTCTAAATATAAAGTACCCAGCAGCCAAATAGATAATTGTTTATCATAGAAAAAATGTTATCATAAAGAAACTAAACATAAAATAAAAGACTTAATGTATCCCCTTGATTAAGTACAACAGCTCAATAACAATAATATCAAGTATTGGAGGTAGCCAAATCACTTCTAAAATACATTTTAAATATGAAATTCGAAATGATTCATAATATATTATTACATCTATACCTTAATGAAATACTTAAAAGATCATTTCTATTGTAGTATATCAAATCTTATCAAAAATATTTTAGGTAATTAATCTTTATACCATATTTAAATGATCATTAAAGTTAATTCTAAAATAGACAAAGTTGTTATAAAACAAATAACTAAAAGAAAACGATTAATGAAGAAAATATATGAGTGATTCACTTTCATATAGTATTTTATTTATAAATTATATATTATTAATGTATAATTAATATGTTGTCCATAAATTCCTGATATACATTAATGAAATTCAAACTTGCCTCTCTTTTATTCAAAATTATTTAAACAACATAAAAAAATGAAATCAATCAATAGAAATTGAGAGGAACAAATTTAAAATTATAATACTTTCTAGAAATCTTCTAAAATATTTAAATTAATTAATATATATAATTTCTTTAAAAAAAAATGGAGTGATTTTTGGCCTGGAAATAATTTAGATTATAAAATAGACAAAATTATATATATTAATTATTATATTCTTCTTTATATTATGATTAAATTATTGAATTTATTTGTTCAACTAATATTATAAATAAAAGTTCTGTTTAATTATGATTTTATAACTATTAATATTATTTAAGATTAGTTAATACATAATCAGGGTTAAGTATTTTATTGATCATTGTTATCAATATATTTTTAATTATTTTATTTGAATGCCTATTCTTTTTCACTTATTATAGGATTAAATAATTTGTATATAAATAAAATATTGAAATTATTTGGTGATTGAAATTCATTTATTATTTTGATTTTTATATCATTCTTCCATAAGCTATTCAGAAGATCATATTTTAAACTAGTTTAATTGAAATTCCACAAAATTTTTTATTTCAATATTATTCAAATTTTAATGGGTAGGAAATACATTTGGATTTGATTAAGACTCTATTTATATGAGTTTTTGGAGAGGAGATGGTGTTAAAAATAATAATTTACATATTGACATGAATTATTGAATTGAAAAAGGGGATTTTAATAAGGGGAATTATATGAAATTTAATTTATAAAGGCTGTGATTGTTTGTAAAGAATTATCATATTAATTTAATAAAATCAATGTTTCTTTAATGTAAAGAACATGAAGAGAGAATCACATAGATAGAATCTGCAAAAAATGCAAAATAAGGTTCAAGAGCTAAATGTGAAAAATGTACTATGAGTGGAACTGTTGTTCATGTCCAAATTTTCGAAAAACACCTAAATGAAAAAGCATTGATAGCTGAATAGATGAAAAAAGATAATCTGGATGAATTTGAGACATTCTCAAACCCTTTAGAAAAATTGATTAGAAATTATAAATAAGAGTTTAATTCTACTATACAACTTATCATTTAAGAGGTTCAAAATATAAAGCAAAAGATCAGTGACAATTTCTCAATTAAGGAAAATTCTTTAGAATCTTAATCAATTTTGGAATTTGAACAAATATGTCATAAAGTCTATTCTGATTCTTTTGAAAAATTTCATCTCAAAATGGAATATTCCAAACTAATCGAAGTACATTAGAATCTCATCAAAATGTAAGATTATTATTCTTAGAAGATTAAAAAATGTTTTAAGCAACTTCAAAATGATATGATTAATTATGAACTATAATATACATTTAATGTTCCAAGACATAAGGTTTGTACAGCTATGTGTACAGGTTAAGATAGTGATTGTTAATTTGTTGCCTTAGCTTTAGGAAATATAATGAAGACATATGAATTTTGTCTTGAAAAATAAAAAGCAGTAGAAAAATAAAGTTTTAAAGATTTTAATCATAATATTGGGAGTGTTGTTATTAGTGAAGATTAAACATATTTAATAGCAGGAGGCACATATGATAATAAAATGATCATTTATAAAGAAAAATGTGAAACAAAAAAGATGTATGAAAAAAAACAATAACTTTTTTCCTAAGAACCTATATTTAGTATTATCTTTACTCCAAATAATGAAGACTTAATATCAGCTTCAGGTAATGATATATTTTGTATAACAAATTAGAATCTTTAAACAATATTATATTAGAAATAATAATAATAATAATAATAATAATAATAATAATAATAAGATGAGTAAATTGTATAAAAAGAATATATCGAATAATATAAATTAGATACCTCTCATTAGAATACAGTTTATTAATTGAGTTATTAATTAAATAAGAGTAAATAACAACTCATGTCATGTAGTTATGATAAATAAATTTTTATATGGTAAAAATAAAATGATGAATGGTGTCAAATTCATAAAATAAGAATAAAAAATTCTGTATATAGATGTTGTTTTGTTGATATAGACTAAATTGTTGTATAAGAAAATTCAAGTAGAGATTTAACTTTTTACAATAATGTGTCTAATAAAACTCTATGTACAAAAGATATTACATAATAATGTAAATTTAATGATTTAAATACTGATTTATCACATAATTTTCCTATGATTTATCTTGAACATAAAAAATTATTAATTGTCAAACATAATTCAAAAATAGTATTTTTTAGAAAAAGAAAAAATAATCTCTTTTATAAAGAAGATGAAAAAGATGGAGAAATGGGAACTGTAACTAATGATGGTAAGATCTTCTTAAAATGGGATAAAATAAATTCAAATGTTGAGATTTATGAATAAACTATAAAATATTAAACACCAAAAGAAGAATTTGATTAAACATTTTTTGGTAGTCAATCCAAAATCTTTCAAGATTCTAATCTTCAGAGTATAAAAGATCAGAAATCTGAATCTATTGGAAATACAAATTTAATAGAAGGGAATTAATAAAAAGAAATTAAAGATTAAAAGCCCTTGTAAAATAATGATATTTTATCAGAGTTAAGGTAGGGGAATGAATATAATGGTAAAAATAAAAATGATTAGAAACAAGAATAATCTATCAATACATCTGGTGCAGATTATTAGAAACAAGTATAATCTATAAATACATCTGGTGCAGATTATTAGAAACAAGAATAATCTATCAATAAATCTGATACATTTGATTAGAAGCCAAATTTATAATTAGATAAAACTGATTCTCCACCTCATTTAGTAGAATTTCAAGATTGAAATTGAATCATTTTTATAATAATTATAATATTATCATAATTTAATAACTATCAAAATATATTACATGGAACCAAAAGTCCTAAATATATTGAATTACATAATCCAAAGGATTAATTCTTTTTTAGTTAAAACTATATAAAAATTAATATATTTACTCTTCCATTCATCAATTATTGAAGTACTATCATTAGGATTGTTCCAAATATGAATCCAGTACAAACAAAAAATAATAATACAAAATCTACCATTATTGCTATGAATCCTGCAAAACAAAGCATTAAGAAATAAACTAAATTGGTTTAAAACATATGTTTACTTTCAAATCTAATTTATTTCTATTCAAAAACAAAATAAAAAATGGTTATTCCAATTACTATACAATTTGTTGATGATTATAGTATTAAAATCAAAAATATAAAGCCACTAAAGTAAGAATTACTTGTACTATATTAACTTTAGTAAAAGAAGTATGAAACTAATGATGAACTTTAGAATACTATAATGAGACAGCTATTAACTATAGCTATTGGATTCTAAATTTAAAATATTCATATTACTTGTTGAAATTTCTAATATTTTGCAGAGATAACAACTAAAATGTTACCAAGACCACTAATGATGCAAATAGGTGAGGCAAAGTTTCCAAAAGTTGAAGATCGATCAAATTATATACATAGATATATTGATAATGCAAACGATATTATCTACATTATTAGATATATAATAAGTGCTTTAAGAACTTCATTTTTTTTTATATGGAATGGTTAATCTTTAAGATCATTTGTTAATGGTTATTAAGGTATTTAAACAATTTCAAGTGATTAGATAACTGGAATTCCTAATTAAATTGGTTGTGGAGGTATTTATGGAATAGGTGGAATATTAGGTATAGATTATTATTATTCATTATGAACTACTTTAACATTTTATTGTTAAGCTTATTAAAAATTATGAATATTATTTGGAGCTGAGTAATTAGAATTTATTGAATATTGATTATTAGCATCAACACCCATCTAGTAATTATCAGATATATTAAATTAAGCCAAAGGAACATTGTCTTAATTCCTAGTATTTTAATTTCCCATTTTATCAAAAATAATCAGATTTTAATATTTTAATCAAATAAAAATAAAATCTAAACACAATATAGATAGTTATCTATGTGAATACTTTATTTTATTTTTAGAAATGAGAGTTTTTATAATGATAATCTTATTATATATAAGTTTTAATTTTAATCTTTGATACAATAAACAATTAAAAATAATTAAATTTCTAAGTATTAATTGATTATAAATTCTAGTCTTATTAAAAATAAAGAATTTTAGATATTGATTAATAATTTTAGATATTACTCTATTAATATAATTAATTATTTTCTTTTACAATTTAACATAAAAGTTTTTAAGTTTTATCAATTATTTAATTGAAACTATTATATAATTGATACCTCTTGTATTACTAATTACATAATAATAACTTAATAGGATAATATTATTTTTTAATAGTAATAATAAATATTAATATTTATAACAATGTCACGTTCAAATATTCCTAGACAATTACCACGTAGATATTAATAATAATTATATTTCAGCTTTATAATAAAAGAGAGTAGGGGAAGGTGAAATGCCATTTGGAGGATAATAACAAATATCATAGCCAGCAGAGAAAAAGGTTGATTTTGCGAATTCAAATTTTGAGCAGAATGATGAATAATAAGACAATGAGGAAGAAGTAATTATTAGAGTATTAAGGATTTAAGAAATTGTAACCTGCACCCAATCATGATAGTGGTATGACATATACTAATTTCATGAATGATGATATAATTTATAATTGTTACTCTTTAGGAGATCGAATTGGAGCAAGAATAAATAGATTACTTCAATGTGATCCACCAAGACTTACTTTTGTTGATCGATTGAATAAGTTGGAATATGATTAAATAGTTAATCCATTTTCATTGAGTGAGAAGGATAAAGCTCAAATTACACCTGATCGAGTATTGTATCTCAATTATATTGTAGACTGTAGTTATGAAGATTATTGGTACATCATAATTATAAATGGATACGAATATTTAACATCCCTTTATAAGGATGCATGTGATCAATATTAAGAATGGATGTTATTTGTATAAACCAAAAAATGAGGATAATTAACCAAGAGAGTTTACTAATGCAGTATACAATTATGAAAGTAATTGCATTACAAATATATTGGATGGAGAGAGAGAGAGAGTTACTTGTGAATTAGAGTTGCTTACTGCTTTTTCGACTAATTTCTGTGATATGCGTATGGCTACCAATAGTAGAGCATAATGGAATGAAGAAATATTGATTAATATTCCAGCAGATGAATTCTTTAAATCAGATACAATAATATTATTTGAACTTTTGGATTTTCATCCTATTTATTTATAATAACATAATAGTGAATTTTTAGATTCAGATAATTTCTATAGAATTGCTTGGGGTTATACAAGACCAAATGGATTATGTAGATTACATTTGGGAATAAGCAAAATATAACTATATAAGTATTTGTTTGATACTAATAAATTGAAATCAGTTAGTAGAAGAGAATCAATTCCATTAGTTTATTTCGATTTTCTTTGGCTTGATAAAGTTGAATATGATGCAGTTTTAAATGTTTATTTAGGTACTGAAACTAAACCATAATTCATTGAGATTTATGGTAAGAGTCATAGTAACAATGTATTTGAGATAGAAAAAGGAGATGAAGAAGCAAGAGAAAAAGTGAAACATTCTGTTGTTATGGATAAGATAATTGAATAGAGAATAGAAGAAATTACAGATTAAGAGAAAATTAATTTAAGAAGACGTCGTTATCTTGGAGACAAAGAAGATCATATACCAGATAAAATAGCTTATAAATTTGCAAGTGCTCCTATGGGATGTTATAGATTAGCTTTTAATAAATATGGTAATTATTTGGCATGTGCATGTACTTATAAAAATTCAAAAACTATTATAAAATTATTTGATGTTGAAACTGGATAACATTTTACAACATATAAAGGTCATAGAAATATTATTCATGATTTATAATTCTCATAGAATTCTTAATATTTAATTACAGTATCAAGTGATTATACAGCTAAAGTTTGGAGTGTACCTCAACATTCAGGAGATATTGTGAATGAAGAAGAATCAGATTTATTATTAATTTGTACTCTTTAACATGCATCTTTTGTTTATGCTGGCTTATTTTTAATGGATAGTAAAATACCTGTAGTGGCTACTTGTTGTTTTGATAGTAGAATGCGTATATGGCAATTTGAATCTAATCAATAATTATAAATTATAGATGAACCTATTCAATAAGAAATTATATCATATGATGGCATATCTTTTGATTAATTTGAAAATCTAGGCAATCATAGACATCCTAATTGTTTAGTATATGATGGTGCCAAATGTTTATATGTTGGAGATTCATTGGGAAATATACACTTTTTTGATATTAATCTATCTGGTGGTAGTTATATAGCTAGGAGATTGAGTTTAATAGTCATTCAAGAAATTAGTGGAAATCCAATTAATTAAATTTAATTGATGCCTCCTGAATGTCAAGATCTCTTGATTCATACAAGAGATAATTGTATTCGTATTGTTGATTTTAAATCTGGTGATGGCAAATTTCATGATCATGAAGTTATAAATGGTTCTGTCAATAATCGTTTTTTTGGATCTCAATCTGTTAAAATTGCTTGTCGTAGTGTCTCAAGTCCAAAAGGAGATTATGTTTTATCAGGTAGTGAAGATGGTAAACCTCATCTATGGAGTAATTTAACATAAACCTTACCTACTGATATATTTTAATTTAATGTTATAGGTCCTGTTGCTGATGTTGCTTGGAATATAGGATATCATATGATTGCTATTGCTGGCTTTGGAGATGAACATCCTATTCTTGTCTATGTTTGGGAAAGAGATGGAGATCTCAATTTTATTGAAGCCAAAAAATTACAAGATGAAATCAAAATCAAACATAGAGAATAAGAAGATATTGTATTTAATATTTAAGCTAAATAAACTCTCAGTCGTTTCTAATAATCCATTTAAGCATAAGGTTTATTTTAGCCATAATTTGCTTAATCATCCTAAATTCCTTTTTAACCTTAATCAATATTAAATTAATAATAAACTGGCAATTAATCAAAAGCTAATACTCAAACTGGACCATTTGGATAATCAGGTCCTTTTGGATAATCATAGTAATAATAAGGACCTTTTGGTTAACCTTAATAATAATAATAATAATAATAAGGACCTTTTGGATAATCATAATAATAAGGACCTTTTGGTTAATAATAATAATAATAATAAGTACCTTTTGGATAATCATAATAATAAGGACCTTTTGGTTAATAATAAATACCTTTTGGATAATAGTAACCTTCCTAAAATGCTGGTCCTTTTGAATAATCTTAATAATAAGGTCCTTTTGGATAAATGCCTTTTTAATAATAATAAGTACCTCCTAATAATCCTAATACACCTTACAATGCAAATTATCAAATGCCATTTTCATGATTATATATATTTTTATAAAATATGAGTAGATTAACCATCTTTACAGTGATTAATAACTCATTGTATCAGGTGAGTAAATAAATGATTAATATAAATTTTTGGAATCTTTTTAGGCTTTGAAAAAAAAGTTGATTGAATGGTATTAAGAACAGAATATGAAGTAGTCATCATATTTTTGATTTTCTATTCGAAATAAAATATTTGTGAACTTATTTCTATATGTTACCTTCATTCATTTTCAAAGATTTAAAATTAATTAGAATTCATATCCAAATAAAAGTTGAATAATTCAAAATTAAACAGTAATAAGGTTTAATTTTTTATTATTATTTATTTTATTAATTAATAATAATAATAATAAACTTATCGATTTGTTCATTCTAAAAATATTCTAACTTTATAATATTATTATAATAATCAAGGCTTTTAGAATTA